TGAGTATAAGAATATTAACCCCTCGTTCCATGTGTCTCTTCTCAGGCTGGTGGTAGCTGGTCCACTCCAGGACAATGAGATAGGGGAGACTCCTCCGCCCCCACTGGACATCGAGGGGGCTCCGGCGTACACCGTTCGGTCCATCTTGGACTCTAGACGCTGGATGGGGGGGTCTCCAGTATCTCGTGGAGTGGGAGGGGTACGGCCCGGAGGAGCGGTGCTGGGTGCCGCGGAGGGACATCCTAGACCCATCTCTCCTGTCGGAGTTCCACCGGGACCATCCCGCGCGCCCTGCTCCGCGTCCTCCTGGTCGTCCCCGAGGCCGGGGTCGGCGCACGGCTGGAGCCGCGCGTCAAGGGGGGGGTACTGTCACGGTTTCGGCCGAGGCTGCTCCTCCTCCTGGTTCGGGCAGGCTTCGGCGGTCGTCGTCCCCGGAGTACTAGCTGCCACCGATCTATGTTTCATGTTCGTTTGGTTTTGTCTGGATGTTGTACACCTGTGTCTTGTTAGTCCTCGTTAGTGTCCTATTTAGTTCTCGTTGTGTGTGCTTGTTGTTGTGTGTGATTGCGCTTCTGTTTCGTGTTTGGAGCTACATTTTCCCTCCAGTGTTTTGGAGAGGGTAGTTTGCACATGTTGTGCGTCATTTGTTTTGTCGCCTGTGTGCGCCGTGTATTTTCGCCTTCGGGCTTATTGTGCTTCTGTCATATATATATATTGCACTAAAGCCTTTGGACTGAGCCTCTGCGTCCTGCGCATGATTCCTACACCACACCCACCTTCAGCACGCCTTGACAAGAACGATCACTACCACTCTGGTAAGCTAGAATTTCTAGCTCTAAAATGGGCAATCACTGATAAGTTCCACGATTATTTGTACTATGCTCCGACCTTCACTGTATACAGCGATAACAACCCGCTCAGCTACATTCTGTCTACTGCAAAACTGAACGCATCCACTTCCAGGTGGGTTGCAGAATTGGATGATTTCCACTTTACAATAAAGTACAGGCCAGGCAGAGAGAACAGTGATGCAGATGCTTTGTCGAGGATGCCACTGGATGTCACTGATGAGAGAATGTTCTGAGGAGCTTCCACCAGACACCATTGCCGCCACGATACAAGCAGTTGAGGTACAGAAACAGCCTGTTGTGCCTTGGTCACTTTCAGCTGCATCTATGTCAGTATCAGCTGAAGGTGAGACAACCACTGCAACAATCAGCTCGATCCCAAAAGATGGGATAAGAGAAGCACAAGAATCTGATCCAGTCATCCTTCCTGTGCTCGATTACAGACTGTCTGGTTCCAAACCGCCAGTTAAAAAGCAAAAGGAATCCAGTCCAAAGACAAAATGGTATTCAGAGAATGAGACAAATTGACAATAGACAGTGATAGCATTCTGTACAGAATCACTACAGCCCGCAAGCAGTTAGTTCTACCAGAGCAGTACAAAGGTAAAGTGATGGAAGAGTTGCACAATAACATGGGACACCAAGGTACTGACCGCACTGTATCACTAGTACGTGACCGCTTCTTCTGGCCATATATGCAATCTGACATCGAGCACTATGTGACTAAAACTTGTAGCTGTGTCAAGCAGAAATAGCCAGGCCATGAAACAAGAGCTCCTCTGACAAACATTGTGACAACACAGCCATTTGAACTGGTATGTATAGATTTCCTCCATCTCGACAGATGCAAAGGGGGATATGAGTACATCCTCGTGATTGTTGATCATTTTACACATTTCACTCAAGCCTACGCCACCACATCAAAGTCAGGAAAAACTGCTGCAAATCTCATCTTCAATGACTTTGCCCTGAAGTTTGGGTTCCCCTCCCGCATCCACCATGACCAAGGGGGAGAATTCGAAAATCAGTTCTTCCATCAGTTAAAGAAACTCAGTGGCATGGCGGGGTCCAGAACATCACCCTACCACCCGATGGGGAACGGTCAAGTGGAACGAATGAACAGAACATTGTTGCAAATGCTAAAGACACTAACTGAGACACAAAAGTCAAATTGGAAGGAGTCTCTGAACAAACTGGTTTATGCCTATAACTGCACCCGTTGTGAAGTGACTGGCTATTCACCATTTTATCTTCTGTTTGGGAGATCACCCAGGCTTCCAGTTGATATGCTCTTTGGATTGTGCACAGAGGCAGGTTCCAGTAACCAGCGAGACTACGTGAAGAACTGGAAACGAGGGATGGAAGAAGCATACGCCATTGCAAATGAAAATGCTCAGAAAGCTGCTGAAAGAAGTAAGAGGTACTATGACACTAAAGTTAGGAGTTCAGTGCTACAGCCTGGCGAGCGAGTTCTGATTAAAAACCTGACACCAAGAGGAGGACCAGGCAAACTCCGTAACTATTGGGAAGATCAAATTCACACAGTAGTGAGACAAATGGGTTCAGACCTGCCGATTTATGAGTTGAGACCAGAAAAGGGTAGGGGACGCTCCCGGGTCCTGCACAGAAACCTGCTCATGTCCTGTGACCACTTACCTTTTGAGACACAGAAATGACTAATGATGACAAAAGTAAGAAAAAAAGAGACATCAGCCTGCATCACAGCCTCTAGATTCTGATGAAGACAGCGGGGATGAATATGACCTTCATCATGAGCCGCTAGAGGTCCCCACATCTCCTACAGTACCTGAGGAGAGGTATGCTGAACCAGCGAGAGAGTCGGAACACAGGCCCCCACCAGTGAAACAGACAGTTGCGGTGCCAGTTCCTGATTCGCTACCAGCACAGCCTCTTGTTGAAAAGCAGCTGGAGGAGACAACAACAGTTAAAGACCTGCCTGCTGAGGAGATGAACTTGCCTGCTGAAATTGTGCCTGATGATTGTCCACTAAGTGCCTTTCCTTCATTAACTGCTGCTGCTGAACCGGAGGAACCAGTCTACCAGCTACCACAAAGAGAGAGACACCCTCCAAGACATATCAGCTATGATCAGCTTGGTATCCCTTCCTGCTACAGTATCCAGCCACAGCCACAGTTGTTCCCTGTCTACCCTGCACCAGGAATGGTTCCATGGCTGCCATCACTACAGCGATATTACCTTCAGCCCCCCCCTACATGTATGGACTTCAGCAAACATGAGGCTACAGAGTTGACATGTTTGACCATGGACTACTGACTGATTTCACAGACTGTCACAAGAGACAATTTGGAGACTATGCATATAGATCATTAAAACTCATGGACTGTTGACAATAGTATGAGAAAAGACTGCTTATGGACTGTTTATACAGTTGGTCAACAGATATGGACTGTGAATATAACTTGTTGGTTCTATTTGAACTGTGAACTTTGACCTCTGCTCAAGTACTAGCTTACAGAAGAGGATTTTCTACGTCCAGTGCTTATAGACTGTTTAAGAAGACAATGTTGGTAATGTTGGGACAACATTTATGTTGTCGGGGAGAGTGTGACAGGTTAAAGGAAATACTCATAGCCTGTTATACACTAAAAAGTATCATTAAGTTCATAGTATGTGAGGATCTTAAAATATCTAAGGTTAAAAAGATCATGCATTCAGTACTAGTTCATAGAGATTGATAAAATTCATATAATTGTGTTAGAAAGTTAAAATCCGTCAAGCGTGCAAAGGGTAAAAATTGTAAGAGGAATGTGTAAACGTTATATTGACTACTTTATTTTGTGGTGCCTAATTTAAGGGTAAAAGTGTTAATCTGTGATCTACTAAATGCTCTTAATCTATGAGCCTGAGATCGATTGCTCTGGTCTCCACCCAAGTTCCCGGTGAAATCGCGGTCTTTTCCTCATTACACTAAAGTTCTCAGTGAGGAAACATAACTGTATCACTCGTGATTATTTCTCCCCTTTTTCAGGGGCGTAACATTATCCTATATTTCTTCAGACTGGGCGAGCCTAATTGATGTATACATTCAAACCTTTATTTAATTTCTTTATGTAAAATGGTTGTTCTCGCTAAACTTGTTACCCGCCAATGTCATACTTTCTGGTTGAGGTGTGGTGTGCAGTGCACATTCTCGTATGCGCGCAAGTGAATGGTTGCTGCGCTTTCCTCCATGGATCATAGGGTATGTTGATTATTTTGGTTGCATTTTCAATACAACTTAGTTTATTCTAATCAAGAATGGTCTATTTTATTTTGGGTAAATTATATTTGCTATGTAAAATTATCCTTACTGTATAGCTGTCTCTGTAGGCCTAGCGGTGAGGTTAGCACTAGCCTACCTGCTAATTCTGAAACAGTGTATTGCTTAAAGGTATTTCAGTGCCAGCTCAATGTTGCTTCTGTAAGTGACTGGAGGTTAATGTGTGCAGACCGGTGTGGTGGTAGGCTACTGATGGTTTCTCGGAACTAATGGCTTTTATGGTTGTCGGTAGATGGAGTACAGCTTCATCTAGTTGTCGCGTCGGGGACAACTGTGGCATTTTAGCTAAGCCTAACCCTAACCCTTTTCCTAGCCTTATTCCGATTCTCCTAACCTGCTGCGTAAAGTCACTTCCATCTAGCCATAATCATAGAAGCCATCAGTTGTGAGAAACCATCGGTACCACCACACCGGCACATTGGGCCTAAGCGACTGGCTGTTGATGTGTGCAGACCAGCAATATGCCACATTTCTTCACAAACTAAAAACCTTTTTTTCAAGAACTTTACTTTTATTTTTCAATATTTTTGTACAAAGTTACGATTAGGCTACCATGAGAGAGCTCCTGAAGAAAATAAATGCTACACTATTATTGGAATCCTTGACTACTGGTAAATACCATTTCTTCTACTACTCCACCATCAAAATTCAGTACCATCCCTGGTCGTGGCGGCATACCTTCACAACCTTACAAGAACATAGATGGCACTGTGGTTAGAAATGACCAATATTGGATTCCAAAACTTTCTGGGGAAGTACATGTACACATGCATACATCTATAATACCTCATAGAGGACCCATATAGCTGCACAATCAAACAGTTCCTCATAAAGATGAAACACTGTCAAAGATTGTATTTATTTTTCTCTCAGAACACTGATTATTTTGATATAAACTAAATAATTGCTAAGCGTCTAGTCTCCTTGTCAGATTGTGATATCATATTCCATTGCTTGAGGGCAAAGTATCTTCTACATTGGAAGCTCAAAGTCAGGTTCATATGAATAACACCTGTGGTTAAAGTTCACCACCAGCCTGGCAAGAGAGTTTTAGTCTTTCTGTCTGTCTGTCCATCCCGTGACATTTCTTTCCAGGTATCAGTGTTCGAGAACAAAGTGACTCGTGGCTTTCCCCAGTCACTGCTCATTGGTTGAACGGATAGAAATAGAATCTCATTCTAGTGTTTTGGTTGAAGGTCCTCGGTATCCTTGTTCTGGGTTGCCTGTGATATTTTGGATGAGTTCCTTCACATGCGTAGCCTGCGCTCCTTTCTGGAGATAGCCAAATAGTCCCAGTGTCCTGGAGGAGAACATAGAGAAGTGGATCACTTTTATGAACCTTTTATGAACTAATTGTAAAGGAAATGACACAACGTTTTCACACCATTAAAAAGTTTCGGCTTTCATCAATGGCCTTCATATGAACTCATGAATAACTTCAGGGTGTGTCTTACCTGTCAATAATGTGATTGACCCCTGGGCTAGGTGTGTGGGTCAGGCTGGCTGGGCTCAGCGTTCACGACTGGTGGGACACTGAATCCTCCTCACAGATAGACACAGGGTCAGCAGGATCTGACACACAGGACACATAATGGTACAAGGTATCAACTGTGTTATAATACAGACTATTCTACAGATCATTTTGTACTTTTTTTTAGCTCAGTAGTGATCTCCCCTTACCTGTCGTTGCCGTTGGCGACAGCGGCCCTGTTGCTGTGCTGAGGAGAGGGCGTGGCCGTTCCGCTGCTGACTTCCTGTAGCATCATCATCATACCTGTCTCACCTGGCCCTGCCCTGCAGGAAGAGGTGTGTCCACACAGAAGAGCCACCTCCCCTCCACATACTTTCCCCCCACCTGAGAAGGATACAAGACCAGAAGACAATAATAGCCTATTCTGTCCACATAGTCTCACCATTGACCTAACTTGCTAGACACCAGAAGAAAAATGATTTTGGAGTTATGAGTTATTGTGTATGTTCCCTCACAGTGTACGTTGTCATTTCCCTTGTTCCTTATACCTGTCATGAATGCGTTGGAGGATGATGGCCGGCCCCTCCCCCTGCCGTATCTGTAGTAACCACAGTGCAGCAGGCGGGCATAGGCGGACCTAAAGTCTCTGTTTAGGGCAGCATAGAGCAAAGGGTTCAGAGCTGAGTTGATGTACCCCAGCCACTGCACCACGGGGTAGGCTGCTGGGTAGTTCTGCTCCTTCAGACCCATAATGGTAAACAGGGTGAAGTAGGGCAGCCAGCACACCACGAACACCCCGATCACTGCTGCTAGAGTCACTGTGGCTTTGTGTTCCCGTAGAGCCACCGCTGTTACTGAGGTGAGATGACGAGGGGCTGACGAGGGGCTGTTGTTGTTGTTAAGGCTGGGGCGTGCATGGATGATGCGCCTGGCCTGCGCCCGGGCGATGCGGAGAATACGGTGGTAGGTCCAGCACATGATCAGCAGGGGGAGGTAGAAGGTTAAGGAGGCGTCCACCACAGCATACGACGGGTTCAGCTCAAAGTTACACTCTGTCTTGTTGTCCCCCTGGTCGCGATTCTGGACGCTGCCGTCCACAGTGTTCCAGCCCAGGTGGATTGGCAGGAATGACACCGCTAGCGACACCGCCCACACCAACGCCATAGCCAAGGCAACTCGCCTCGGCAACACCAGTGAGGAGTATCTAAGGGGCGCGGTCACGGCCAGGTAGCGGTCCAGGCTGATGGCCAATAGGGTGAGGATGGAGGCGGTGCATAACATAACATCCAATGAGATGTAGATGTTGCAGATGGTCGGCCCCAGCGGCCAATTGCTGAGCTGGAGGAGGGCGGAGAAGGGCAGGACAAGCATGCCAAGCAGCAGGTCAGTGATGGCGAGGGAGACGATGAAACAGTTGGTGAGGCAACGGAGACGTCGCGTGGCGCAGACGGCCAGACAAACCAGGACGTTACCACACACTGTCAGCAGGATGAGCAGGGACAGGAACACACCTAGTATCACCATAGACAGCATCCTCACTGGAGTCCCAGTCCCAACCCTAACCCCTGCCCTACACCCAGTGCCAACCCTAACCCCTGTCCTACACCCAGTCCCAACCCTAACCCCTGCCCTACACCCAGTCCCAACCCTAACCGCTCTCTTACACCCAGTCCCAACCCTAACCCCTGCCCTACACCCAGTCCCAACCCTAACCGCTCCCTTACACCCAGTCCAAACCCTAACCCCTGCCCTACACCCAGTCCCAACGCTTACCTCTGCCCTACACCCAGTCCAAACCCTATCCCCTGCACTACACCCAGTCCCAACCCTAACCCCTGCCCTACACCCAGTCCCAACCCTAACCGCTCTCTTACACCCAGTCCAAACCCTAACCCCTGCCCTACACCCAGTCCCAACACTTACCTCTGCCCTACACCACTGTGGAGTCCTAGTCCCAACCCTTCCTTACACCTAGTCCCAACCCTAACCCCTGCCCTACAACAACTCAGTCCAGACTCATGGATAAAGCCTTCAGAGAAGATTTATGTGGGTGTGGCTGTATCCATACTGATGTACATGGATGGACATTCATCTCTGTGTTTGAGCTATTTTCCTTGGTATGTTTGTGTATATTTCATATACATTCATATATCAGATTGTATTGGTTTCTGGATGGATAGGTCAGTGTATCACAGGTCCTCTGAGTGAAGGAGCGTTGAGGAGGCTGATGGTTGGTCCAGTGTGTGATGATGGGCTGTAGAACAGCTCCCTCTGTTGGTGGCTGGTCCACACTGCTCCATATTGTTCATATCACTGAGCTGGCTTTCACATTCAGGTCACAACTTCATCTAAAAACACAGAGCAACAGAAAGTCAGACAGCCCCAAAAAACAAAGTAACATGGCCTTTATACTGCAAGGAGATACTATACCGAGCTACTTACAAGTGCAGGTACCTCCACTATCAGAAAATATGAAGCAAATCAAAGCAAATCATGGTTATATGGCAGCAGACAAATATTGCTAACTTGCTAAGCTATCAAGATTAGTGAGATGGAAAATGAGGGCAGCAGTTACACATGTCTAGTGGTGGAATATTCAATAAGAGAGACTGATAAGATAACCTGTGTGTGTGTGTGTGAATGTGCGTCAGTAAGTAGCAAGTGGTGTTTGATCTCCCTCCCTCTTATGCTTAAATGGACGTTTGGGACACACTCCAGGTTTGGAATGCTAGAAGTCTAATCACTCAAACAGCTTAACAGAGTGGTAGAGGGGGGTTGGGGGAGAGAAATGGGGGAGCAAGGGTGGGGGAGAAAGATGGAGAGGGTAGAGAGGAGGGGGGAGCGAGAGAGAAAGGGGAGAGAGAGTAGAAAATAGAAAGATATACAAAAAGACACGCCGAGATTCTGTTTGCCTTGACTCTGACCACAGATAGAAAGGCACCAAATTGAAGACATATCTTCAGACAGACTTATTTCCCAGATCCCCCAAACACACACGCATTCTCACACACACTCTCTGACTCATCCACTCTTTGTTTTATTGGAGGACTCTTGGCAAAGCTTCCTTCCCATATTGTATGTCTATATCTGGGCAGCCCCCAATGACTATTGCTGGCCTGACATACCCCCACTCCAAACTGCCTTCCCACAGACAAGGCAGAGAGGGGTGTGTCTGTCATTTATTTTTTTACCATTATTTAACTAGGCAAGTCAGTTAAGAACAAATTCTTATTTACAATGACGGCCTACACCAGCCAAACCAGGACGACGCTGGGCCAATTGTGCGCCGCCCTATGGGACTCCCAATCACGGCCTGTTGTGATACAGCTTGGAATCAAACCAGGGGTTCTGAGATGCAGTGCCTTAGACCGCTGCGCCACTCGGGAGCCCTACAGTACATCTGTGTGTTTAAAGAACTATGGTGCTCATGTTTCTCTATGTGTATTTCTGAATTGATTTGACTTCGGTGTCTGATAGGTTTGTGTGGGAATTTGAGAGTGTAAGTGTATGATATGATTGTCTAAAATATGAATACAACACCTCAATACAATATAGAATGTGATGCGGACAGTCGGACAAAGATGTAAACTGACCCACAATAGCTGACGTCATTGACACGTATTGTTAGTCAGACCTATAGTAGTAAGACACAAAATGGCTACTCTCTGTGATACACAGAGGATCAGTCACACCTCCGGTCACTAGTGCGGATTATGATTGTGGTCCTCTGTAGCTCAGCTGGTAGAGCATGGCGCGTGTAACGCCAAGGTAGTGGGTTCGATCCCCGGGACCACCCATACACAAAAATGTATGCACGCATGACTGTAAGTTGCTTTGGATAAAAGTGTCTGCTAAATGGCATATTATTATATTATGATAACACAGGCCAATACTCTTTCCCGTTTCCCACACTTAGAAATAATGAAATAATGTCTGTTGCGGATTGCAACTTTGAGGAAATTGTTGGTGTGTCATGCAGAGATTAGTTTAAATGACCTACTTAAGCAGAATGTGACCTGTTTTTGTTAGATAGACTTGGCCTTTGTCCCAAATTGCACCCTATTCCCTACATAGTGCACTACTTTTGACCAGAGTCCTATAGGAACCCTATGGGCCCCAGTCAAAAGTAGTGTACTATATATGGAATAGGGTGCCATTTGGGACTTAGGCAGTATAATGAGACAGTATAATTAGTGTTTAGTCTTTTGGGGAGGTCTGTGTATGCATTGTGTCACAACACTGTGACAGGCCAAGGACTTATGCTAAGTGGAAGTGACCTCACATTACCTTTTAGATTACCTACAGTCCAATTCTCTAGACCTGATTCTACTTGTGTTATTTCAGGACCATTGAATGGTGAAAGGACTGGATGGATTTGAATCAGTAGTTTTAAAGGAAGCAAAGGAATGATTTATCTACCTAACCATCCCACTGAAGGAAGACATTGTAGCATAGCAAGATGGAGTCCAGCCAAATAGTTTGAGCAGCGTTTTTCTCTCTAGAGATGGGCCTGGAATGACTTATGAGACTATTTCATGCAGTGCCTAGACAGAATGATTGGTGAGATGCTTTGAATACCAATTGCACATTTATGTTAGTGTGATAAACAGCTGTGTCTTGACAAGAGATTTGCCTGTGAACTGAGCCAAATGCTTTTTTAATATAAAGTGAACGTTCACATACTTTGTTCTGTTCTGTGTGACCATGAGCGATGGACTGTGGAATTACAATGAAGATTGAAGAGGACCCAGAGACAGACAGCCACTTCAGACAGGCAGACAGACACACACACACGTGCGCGCGCATGCACTCCCAGAGCAGGCTCGTAACAGCTTGCCTTTGTTACGTCACACTCCTGCCCTCGGTCAACACCAAGCACCTTGTTGTAGCTCCAATGAAGGAAACCTACTGAACACTGTGCTAATGGCTAACGCTAACATCCCAGTACAGAACACACAGCTGCCACACAGAAACAGGGCACTTCAACCAGCATTTACACAACAACACTCAATGTGAATGGACATGTAGTCACAAATGTCTATACAGTGACTATCTGTTCATATTATCTCTCTGTTTCTCTGTCTATTTCTGGTATCAATAACAAGATACAATGAGCTGAAACGAGCCACCTACTATTTCCCACAAGGCAGTTTCTTGTCATTCTTGATAGCTATATGACCGTTCAGAATCATAACAACTCACACCTTCCGGCCACATCGATGTGCGAGCATAATTTTTGTAACGTTGTCAGTCAACCCGTCTATAGCACAGTGTTTCCCAACTCCAGTCTTCGAATAGCCCCAACAGCACAATACTATTTTGCAGCCCCGGACAAACTCACCTAATTCAACTCATTGAGGGCTTCATGATTAGTTGACATTTTGAGTCAGGTGTGCTTGTCCGGGGCTACAACAAAGATGTGACCCACCGTCTCTTTTTACTAACACATTGCCACACTGCTTGTAACAACCGAGAGTGAGAACAAAGCAGACAGTGGGGGTGGGGGAAGTGACTCACGTTCCAACAGCGGAGGCCTTTTCAAAATAAAAATCCCTCAACGAATGTGGCGACTCTTTTATTTTTTTCGTATCTTTTTTCTTTATTGGGGGGACCATTTATTTTCAGACACACGTCACACAATGAAGAGTTGCGCCTCTGCATGTGACTAGTATAGTCTTTAGTTCATGGTGAGTGAGAGACAGCATGGTGTTGGGAGACACTACATTCAAACCTCATCCACAGGCATCTCTGTGTGGCCCACATCCTCTGTGGTCAGTATGAAAATGTATGCACTCATTAACTGTAAGTCGCTCTGGATAAGAGCGTCTGCTAAATGACTAAAATGTAAATGTCTGTTAGAAACTATCATCAATGTGTCTGTATGTGGTCAGTATAAACATATGGGGATCCGTTAGCCTGGTAACCAGATGTGGTTGTTTTTGTTTCAGCCAAATCCCCTCTATTTCTGCTTTTAACCAACTGAAGTAAAAACACAAACAGATCCGTCAGGTTTCACTCTATAGACAAATCATCCACTCACACTCCCTCATTCTCAGGTCCAGAGAGTTGGTGACCTCTGTGTCATTGTGTTCCCAGTCACGTACAGGCTACATGTACACTGTATAACAACAGTGCATGTGACTGGCTGAGTGAGTTGAAAAGACATTCACAGAGGTCAGTCTGGGACAGAGTCAGAGTCGTTTTTGGTAGCTTATTAATAAGCTTCAGAACAGATCACTTATAAATGGGCTTTTGAACTCGATCAAAACAGGTCTTGATAGTAAAGGCATTTATGTATTCAGCTCCTGAGGAAGTGCTGTGGTAGAGTTGGAGTATTTGTTACCGGAATTAAGTATAGATTTGAGGTCACCTAGTACAAATGTACTCACTTGTCACTGACATTGTAATAAGAGAACGTTTAAAACTCACCGCAGTCTCACTGGTATTCCAACTCCTGTTCTGTGTCAGCTCTCTCTTCTCTCCTCCTCTCCTCTCTGCTCTAACGTTACTCTACTCTGTGAGACTGGATGGGAACCAAAGGCTCTTTCATCATGTGCGTGCGTATGTGTGTGTATGAGTCATTTTCTCTTGCCCCCCTTGTTCTCTCTCTCTCTCCCATGGTTAATAGACTTTGTTAATAACTAATAGTCTTCCACTTGCATATAAATATAATTTAGTTTCATACCTGTTCACACTGCATGCTCAACAATCTGTCCTCCAATTAGGGAAGCCTTTCAAAACAAGATGCCAGTTAGCATACAGATCTGAATTAGCCACTGTACTTTTTTTAAACTCACCCCAATGCTAAGGAAGTTAATTCGATGGTAGCTCTCATGCTATCCTTCTCTGTCTCTTTTCTGACTTCCTCATATACAGTAGTACACTACTTTTCACCAGAGCTCACCATAGAGTGTCATTATTTGAGATTTGCCCCAGGACTCTTGAGGAGGACTGGAGTGTTCTTTACTGGGTCATTTTAAGGAGTCTCAGACAGACCGCGGTTGTGTATTTTTACTGGTATTAGATGGTATTTTTAGGGCGAGAACACGTAGCTTTCAGAGTTGGCAGAGTTGTTCTGTCGGGAATCACTTTACTGACCCTGTGTTAAATCTTTTTATTTGGCTCTCTTTTTCTCTGTCTTGCATTCCCTATCAATCTTTTATTCACCCTTTTCCCATTTCTCTTTTACTCTATCTGTCTGTGACTGTTGCTCTCTCTCCCACAACTTATTTTGTATCCAAGTGTCCATGCCTCATTACTCCTGCTTACATATGGGTTCACCTACAAACACACATCTCTGTCCCCTGATCACCTTACCTAACGACCTGTCTCCAGCCCCACCAGACCCCACACACCTGTAAGCTCCACCCTATTTTCTCCTTGTGAGTCGCATGGTTTCTGCCTCCCTCCTGTTATCAGGTCAAGTTGATAACGTATCATAGTACGCACACACACACACACACACACACACACTCACCTTTGAAAGCTGTGCTGAGCCCCATAGCTCGGAAGCCACCTTTCCGTGGGAATGGAAGCTTTTAACTTCTGTTGTGATCTATTTAAAATCTCCAAAACTTCCAAATGTCATCTCCTTGGTTACTTTCCACAGAAACAACATGACAAATCAGCTGCTTACTCAGTTAAATAGTGGAAACTTCTTTGAAGTGGTTTTGCGAACCTTGAAAAGTCTACGTTCAGAGTATTTGCACAAAACTCATGAAATAACCACATTTCCTTATATCTGTTAGTGAAGGCTTTATCTTACCAGACTGTAATGTTGAAGATGGGTCAGACAGACAATTTCCTCTTTTACTGCCACAATCTGGTTGGTGGTTGGGTGTAGTAGGCCTATAATTTCACAATCTAAGAATGAGGATGAGGATTGTGAAAGCTTTCACTGAAACTTGACAGTAAATCTAACATTTTAGCAGTGATGCCATTTCATCAAGGAGATGCAGGAAGTTGAGCCAGCACTTGCCCAATGATTCTGGGGGATTGGGCGGGCAGAGTTAGAGGGAACTGATTGCTCTGTAGCATAAACTGACGAGGCAGATGTTGGCTAACCAAGGAAGTAATCCAAAATTAATCAGATTACGTTACTCATTTTGAGTAATCCAGTGGATTACTTTACTAATGACCTTTATAGTCATATAATCTGTAATCAGTAACTGATTAGATTTTTTAAGTAAGCCATCCAACCCTGTGAGTGCGTGTGCATGTGTGTGTGCATGTCTGTTTTTGTAGCTGTGTGTCTTCCTATTTAGTAAAATACCATGTAAGGCTAGGTACTGTATATGTTAAAGTTTTATAGATTCACTTTAAAAGATGAGTTTTACAGGAGGTCCTGGCCCCATCCTGTTTAACTCCAGATTATACAGTGAGGTATATACATCCAGACCTCATAACAGGATGAAACAGTACAGAGTGTCCTTATGGGAGAGAAGAATGGTATGGAACATCCTTGCTAAACATGTGGATCCATATACACATTGTGACACACTATTCCCACAAGGTCATGTGAGTTCTAACATGATTACAAAAATACACATACAGTACGCAACATACACTGAACAAAAAGGTCTGAAGGCACAGATAGTTTTTTTTTGTAGGACGTTTGAGTTGCGTATTTAGGGTTGCAAGGGGACATTGATTTGTTTAATTGAGTGGAATGGACCCACACAGATACACACTCTCAAAACTAGATGAATATGTTAATATTTATATTCAGTCCCTTTGTTTGTTCCATTGTGGTTTCCTGTCTGTCAGTTTGAAAGAAAAGGTATTCTGCAATGGTTTAAAGTACTTAAGTAAAAATACTTTAAAGTACTACCTAACTCATTTTCTGGGGTCGTTTTTTCACCTTACTTTACTATTGATATGTTTTACTACTTTTACTTTTACTCCACTACATTCATAAAGAAAATAAGTACTTTTTACTCCCACACGTTTTCCCTGACATCCAAAAGTACTCATTACATTTTGAATGCTCAGGCAGGACAATCGTCCAAATTCATGCACCTATCAATATAACGTGTTGTCATCCCTGCTGCCTCACTAAACACAAATACTGCGTTTGTAAATTATGTCTGTGTGTTGGAGTGTGCCTCTGCCTGTCCATACATTTAAAAAACAAGAACATTGTGCCATCTGGTTTGCTTAATATAAGGAATTTGATGTATAGCATTTACTTTTTACTTTTACTCAAGTATGACAATTGAGTACTTTTTCCACCACTGTACTTCAGTACATTTAAAACCAGATACTTTTAGAATTTTACGGAAGTCATATTTTACTGGGTGACTTTAACTTTTACTTGAGTAATTTTCTATTAAGGTATCTTTACTTTTACTCAAGTATGACAATTGAGTACTTTTTTCCACCACTGGTCTTCTGATAGAGCATCTCTCCATTCTGTTTCCATAGAAACAGGTATGTAATGGACCATGGATGCATGCTGTGGCGGACTGAGCATGCAGTGGACTGTGCACGAGAGAGGTCACTTTAATGAAATCAGGTGCGTTATACAGAAATCAGTTTGACCATATTTGGATAGTTTCATCTCATAGACAATCGATTATTATGTTATCAAGTCTAAAAAGGGTATACAGGTTTATCATTTACGTATAGGTCTGTTCAGTTCTCATGTGTTTTCTGAAAAGTGAACGTTTGCTTGTTGTGCAACAATATAGTTATGACCTTTTGTAAAATGTAATGTCTACTACCCTCTTGTGGATAAGTAAGGCAACTACACACTACACATCTATATTACGGTCCCATCACTCATAATGAGAGATTGGTGTAGTAGAGGTAGGCTACATCTAGCCTCCGATTGCCAGACTGATGACCGATGAATCCGTGTAGCGGTCACTCCATCACATATGCAAAGGAGCAGAAAAAGGAGAGAGAAAAGAGAAGAGGAGCTTGTGTTTTTAGGAAAGCTGCCCAAGCAGGAGCTGAAACATGTTGCCAAGTATCTGTTGTGTTTTATATCGAACATAGTAGGCCTCAATTCAGATTAATTTCTCTGAGTGCGGGTGAAAGTAATTGTATATCAGATAGGCTGCCAACAAGTAAAATCATTTGTCACTTTAGACTAAACTACTGCCTCACTTAGAACACTCATGCTGCCCATTGACCACTCATTGAGAACAGGTTCATTGTTCGTGCTACACAAAAGGGGCTATCTAGAACCTAAAAGGGTTCTTCGGCTGTCCCCATAGGAGAACCCTTTGAAGAACCCCTTTTGGTTCCAGGTAGAACCCTTTTGGTTCCAGATAGAACCCTTTAGACAAAGGGCCACAAGAGTTCTACCTGGAACCATAAAGAGTTCTACCTGGAACCAAAAAGGGTTCTACCTGGAACCAAAAAGGGTTCTACCTGGAACCAAAAAGGGTTCTACCTGGAACCAAAAAGGGCTCTCCTATAGGGACAGCCGTAGAACCTTTTGGAACCCTTTTTTCTAAGAGTGTAAGGTCAGATAGAGAGCTACAGTTAGTGAACAGGCCTTTACATAAACAACTACTGAGACAGTTATCCCATGACAGCTGTGAAGAGAAGAAGAGAAGAGGAAGAGAAGAGGAAGGAAGGAGAGGGGGAGGGGTTATCTGCTTTCATATACAGAAAAAAACCCTGCAGAAGTGAGAGGTAGAGCAGAAAACGTATCTCAGACACCCAAAGAGAGAAAGGGAGAGAGGTGGAGAGAGAGAAAAGAAAGGCATTCATGGCTCCTTGGATGAGGACCACAACGGAGCGATATGGCGTGGGTAAGTAACCCACACTCACCTCTGCAGTCCTCCGTGTGTGTGTATGTGTGTATGTGTGTGTGTGTGTGTATGTGTGTATGTGTTTGTGTGTGTCTGCTTGCAGAGGGTGATCTCCGATCGCCCTCACTTCCTCCTTGACTGGAAGTGGGCAGGTTTCAGCTAACTGACTCACATTCTGACTATGTCTGCACAGACATGATAGAGAGAGATGAGGTAGAGATCACTGATAGACCTCCCAGAGTGCTTTAATGGCTGCATCAGAAAGTGACTTTGTGACATGACTGTCAGGAATCACTTGACACACATGATAGCAGTTGCTCTGGCTCAACACTGGCATGTTTCCTAATCAGAAAGACTGATTCCTATCACTGTCACTTTTCATAAACATAAACATATTGATCTTCAGAGCAGGGTTTGTATTTGTTGCAGCAGTTCTAAAATGCATTAAAACAGTGATGGGCAACTAACGGCCCCACGGGCTGCATGCCCCCCTTTTTATTTGTAGGAACTCAGTCGGGATCTCAACATACTGTAGAATAGTAGAAAACTGCTGATGCACAATCAAACATTTTTATCATAAAAATTTATGACGCATGACTGTAAGTCGCTAGGATAAAAGCGTCTGCTATGGCATATTATTATTATTATTATTATTACTATTCTAACTCTAAAAAGTAAATTGAGACCCCGATTGAGTTCCAAAAACCCCCCCATATTAGTTAGTTAGTCTAAACGTGTAGTAATCATGGTTGAATTACCGACCGGGGCACCATCATTGATTTTGTTAGTCGAACATTTCTCTCCACCCTATGGCAAATTAGCTGTAAAACAGATTTTTTTTCTCTCAGCCCCATGGCAAATTGAGTAAAATGGAATGAAATTAGTTATACAATTGCAAAATCTTCTCACTACCTAGTGCTGTCACGGTAACCTTATTACCGCCACACCGGCAGTCATGAGTCATGACCGCAGTCAAATTCCCTGTGACCATTGTTCAAGGTTATCCCATCCAAAACTACGTAAATAATGGAGCTGATGGGTAGCCTACCAAATTTGCTAACGGCCCTCGCTAATGGCCTGGTACTCAGCACTCTATTGTCCCTCTAATCACTCTCTAAACACTTCATGATTGAATTTGAATAATCTGAATGAAGAGGACAAATGGTGATGGGAGTTAGAGGTCCTGTTCCGAAATGGACGCGGGAAAGCTCCGGACCCAATATGCATAAATAAACAGTTTTAACTTGTTCCGAAAGGACCTAAAGGACAACCAGACCCGTCACCTTATAGACCCGGTCCGATCCGAGTGAGGGAAGCAGCAGAAAAGCCAATTGTTTTGCTACTTTGGAGCCATGGAGAAAAGGGAGAGAGAGAGGCACAGAGCAAGCAGCTGTAGGTTATAGGGAGCGGGAAAGCCGTGCAGTGTGTGTGTGAATGTGTGTGCAAGACAGGGGGCCTTGGAGCACTGGAGCAGGCACAGAGGGAGAGACCGCAACCACTGTTAACTCCCACTAGACTAACTTCTTGTTAGTTATTTATCATCCCATCCGATTACATAGTACCTGTCTTGACTGCATCACACTAAGAGAAACTAGCTAACTACATTACTGCGCTTCTCACCGTCCTACAGTTAGCCTACACATAACAACAACTCCATTCAGATTATAGCCTAAATAGCAGCATACCTGTTGGCTTTTGGTCGTTGTAGCCTTTCTTCCACATTTCACTTTTAATTATGTCATCTTCCATTGATTAGATATACCCTAACTTGCTTGGTATACAAGCTCACTCTTAGAAAAAAGTGTTCTTTGGCTGTCCCCATAGGAGAACCCTTTTTGGTTCCAGGTAGAACCCTTTTTGGTTCCAGGTAGAACTATTTTGGGTTCCATGTAGAACCCTCTGTGGAAAGGGCTCTACATGGAACTCAAAAGGGTTCTACCTGGAACCAAAAGGGGTTCTTCAAAGGGTTCTCCTATGGGGACAGCTGAAAAAACCTTTTAGGTTCTAGAAAGCACCTGTTTTTCTAAGAGCGCAGAGCAGCAATGCAATTGTATCTCTCTCGCCACAAGGATCAGAGTGCATGCCTTTCTTGCAACTTTTTTCCAAATCATCAGTATAAAGTCATATCATGCAGCCCATATATTTTGATTTCTAAGACATTCCCAGGTTGCATGACAATTACCCGCTGACAGAATGTCATGACCGTCACAGCCCTATAGACTCCGACCCATGGCAAAATGTGTAGAATTGCAGCAAATGTGCTTTAAAACCGCAACATTTTCTCTACGTTCCACGGCTAAATGTGTAGAATTGCAGGAAATTATTTATAAAATTGCGAAATCTTCTTTCATGTTAGATTGAAAACACAGGAAGTGTAGAAGGGAGGAAGTAACATGAGGTTTCTGGGTGTAACAAATAAAACAGCAGCACAGTGGTGTGAGTAGGTTTCCATTCCTAACATCATGTGTACACAGACCTATAAAACACCAGAACAATGGAAGACAGTGTACAAACAAGTTTGTTTTTTTGTTTATATATTTGTATTGAACATATAAAAGAAGGCACAGTTCTTGACCTAGTTGTACAAACATATATCCTATTTTCTTTTTGTAATCTGAACAAGCATGTATACCCTGAGTTTACCAAACATTAGGAACACCTTCCTAATATTGAGTTCAACAGCAGGTTGGAACTGAGTGTAAAACATGTTCGTTGTGGATGTTGTTTCAAAGCCTAACACAACAAAATGGACAGCACTTTCTTTCTAAGGTGATGATTAATTCAAAACACCCATACGTATTTTAGAGCTTATGAATACGGATAGGCTTATGAGTTCAAGCAAATACATATTACGCATGGCAGAAAAACATAATACAAAACTGATTTAAGATGTCTTTGGTACATAATTGGTGTAGCCTATACTCCTAAATTAAACAAATTTGAGTAATCGCCTTTGAGTGTGGACTGTATTATTATGCATACTGGATGGACTGGTTGCCTTATGCTACACTCCAAAATGTCTACCCACAAGTCTGGGAGAGAACGTATAGCCCTAGGTGATGCTGTTGGTTCATTGATTGTGAAGGGAGGCTTACAGTAAGCCTACAATTATAGTGAATTTGTATTTGATTTTGAATAGTTTAGTAATAGGGAATTTTCATAATTAACTGGGTGACACATTACCTTTAGCTATACAGAATATCTCACCACCATGCGTTTCCATCTCCTCCTCGCTCTCCTTTATTCCTTTCTCGAGGGAGCAGAGTGTCAACAGTTTAGTGAAATATGTTTTGTTTGCGAAAACGTCATTTGGTTTCCCAAATTAAGCACTGGGTAGCTGCAGGAACAGGGTTGGAGAGCCCATGGCTTATATAGTTTGGGCAGAATATCACCTGTCGCGCATCTGGGCCTCGGCCCCACTACGGATTCTGGGACACACTGTATGACGCACCTCTGGAACTTTCCTCACTGTGTGTGTGTGTGTGTGTGTTTGTGTGTGTGTGTGTGTTTGTGTGTGTGTGTGTGTGTGTGTGTGTGTGTGTGTTTATCTGCACGTGTGGATGTGTGTTTGTATGAGAGAGAGCATATCTTTGTCAGTTACAGTAAACAGTGTGTGTGTATGTATGTGTAGCAGTGCAGACAGACATCTGTCAGCAGGGTGCCCCTAGGAGGGCAGGAGAAGGAAGAAGAGGGGGATGAGGAGGAGGGGAGGTACTGTATAAGAGAAGAAGAGTAGCTAAATCTATACCAAACATTAGGAACACCTTCCTAATATTGAGTTGCACTCCCCCTTTTGCCCTCAGAACAGCCTCAATTCGTCAGGCATGGACTCTACAAGGTGTCGAAAGTGTTCCACAGGGATGCTGGCCAATGTTGACTTCAATGCTTCCCACAGTTGTGTCAAGTTGGCTGGATGTCCTTTGGGTGGTGGACCATTCTTTATACACACAGGGAACTGTTGAGCGTGAAAAACCCAGCAGCGTTGCAGTTCTTCACACAAACAAGTGCGCCTGGCACCTACTACCATACCCCGTTCAAAGGGACTTAAATCTTTTGTCTTGCCCATTCACCCTCTGAATGGTACACATACACATTCCATGTCTCAGTTGTCTCAAGGCTTAAAAATCCTTCCTTATCCTGTCTCATCCCCTTCATCTAAACTGATTGAAGTGGATTTAACAAGTGACATCAATAAGGGATCATAGCTTTCACCTGGATTCACCTGGTCAGCCTGTCATGGAAAGAGCAGGTGTTCATAATGTTTTGTACAGTCAGTGTATATGCTTGTTCACCAACAAGCAAAGAAAACCCAACATACAATACAAAAATAATAGTAAAACAAAATCCAACATACCCTCCCTCCCCGAACAAGAAACGTTGATTGTTTTTGTTGGTTTTAAGTGTGCAAACAAAAGCTAATGGTTAGTTTCGGTTATGTTTCTCTATTCTAGGGTCTCTCTTACTGATGTGGAATTCATTGGTCACCTCTCTGTGTCTCTTAGTGATGTGTCATTTCATTGGCCATCTCTCTTTGTCTCCTCTAGTAACGTGGAATTTCATTGGCCTTGGGGTGAAGCAGCTGTCTCTGGAGGTTGGGGACACAGTCCACATCCAGGAGACCTGCGATGGTGAGGGAGCTGACTGGGAATGTTGTGGTTTTACTGGGAATAATGTGGGGTGTAAACTGGGAGTAATGTCTGGGTCTGGATGTCATTCTTTTTGCTGATTACCGCTATTAGCCAGTTTTACAGTGTGTGTAGGTGTGTGTGCTGTGACTGGATATGATATGTGTATGTGCTGTGACTGTACCCTGTGTTCCCTGGTTGCAGGCTGGTATAAAGGCTACCTGGTCAGGAACAAGGATCAACAAGTAAGACGCACCTGGACAGGATAGATGCGTTGGGTGAAAGTGCATGTTATTTTGGTGAGGAAGTGAGCTAATATTATTTCTATGTACTCTCTCCCTCACACTTTATGTCTCTCCTTTCTCCCCACTCTCTACCTCTCTCCCCCCACATCTTCACAGGGAGCGTTCCCGGCCAGCATAGTGCAGCTGAGGAAGGCAATCATTAAAAAGCAAGGGTGAGTGGTGTGTGTCTGTGTGTTTGTATGTATGTCAGTGTGTTTGTGTGTGCGTGTGTGTGTGTGTGTGTCATTGCCATATGCTTACCTGTTTGTGTGTGTGTGTGTGTGTGTGTGTGTATGTGTGTGTCAGTAATATGTGGTATTCATTCCACAGGGACCAGGAGGTGGTGTTGTCAGCAGAGATGCCCCTAGTGAAGGAGGTGACCACCACTCTGAGGGAGTGGGGAAGCATCTGGAAACAGCTCTTCGTGGTAAACACCCCAACACTCTTTGTGTGTGTGTGGTATGTGTGTGTACGTGCACATGTACAGATGTAGGATCTTAATTTGAGCCAGTTTGCTCCAGCAGGAAAATAATCCTGCAGCAACAGGAAATGTAAATTATTCTGACATTAGTCTGACATAGTCTGACATTTTAAAGTGGAAATTACTAACTTTAGAAGCTGTTTTAAACCTTGAATACACTACAAGCTTGCATTTCCTGTTGTGCAGGAAAATTCTCAGCAACAAAAGAGTGATCAAAAAGATCCTACATCTCTACGTGTGTGTGTGTGTGTGTGCGTCTGTGTGTGTGTAGGGTGTGTGTATGGTGTATGTGTGTAACCATTTGTATCTGTGTGTAGGCCAATAAGAAGACGCATGTGGTGCAGGTCCAACGGCTGATGTGGGATCTGATGGAATGGCGTTCCCAGCTCCTGTCTGGCACGTTGCCTAGCGACGAGTTCAAGGAGCTCAAACAGAAAGTCACCTCCAAAATTGACTATGGCAACAAGTATGGACCATAAACTCTAACAGAACTACACTCTTAGAATGAGTGGTGACTCGAGGAACCATGGAGATCCTCAAGGAACCCCTGGAGTTCCTCAAGGAACCATTTCTATTCAATGGATAATATTTGCACCTTCGGTTAGTTGAGGGGTTCTTGGAGGAACCTTTAATGGTTCAATGTAGCAACGGGTTCCTCTGGAGTGGAGACATGGCGTAGTAGTGACATGGCTTTAAGATATCTTTTTTGGGGGCCACCTGTTAGAGTAAATGTCATTCCTGTTCATCTGTTCTGTTGCATTGTCATCACGTTAAGGTTGAACACTGACAGTTGTGTAGCTTCAATGAGTGCGGTTACATGCAAAAATGCAATTATTGTCGATAGTCAGATTAAAATAATAGTTTGATTAAATAATTGACATGCTTTGCAAGAAGAACGATTTCCCTAATAATCCTGTTTACATGGACACATCTGAAATCAGGCTACCTGATTCGCACTCTGATAAATGCAGAAAATTGCCAATCAAAATAAACGTTCTGTCACAGCGAACATGTTATTTTTGCAAAGCATATTTGATACTGAGTTCGGACATATAAAGTTTGTATGTGAAAACTACTTCTAAGAAGTTGTTCCGAACACACTTTACTCACTCTAAAGAGGGAGGCTCGCTTGGCTGGTGCTAGCACATGCGCAGATCAAATACACTGCTGGAACGCCGCTTAAGGTGTTTACATGTCCTAATCATTTGAAAGATTGCTCAGAAAACCAGAGGTTTTAATCGGCATATGCTTTCTTCGATTTTGACCTTAGGCCGATTAAGATAAGCAGAGTATGGTATTTACACGACTATTGCATAATCTGCCTACTGCCATAATTAGTTTAATATTGAATTATTAGTGTGCATGTAAACGTACTCAATGAGGGTAACAGAGGTGTATGAGTTCCTCAAGAGCCTACGCAAATCCCAAAGTTGAAATAGCTACCACTTTATTACTGCATGTAATCAATAATGTTAATATTACTAATATTATATTAGAATATGTAATATGCATAAATATTCAAGGAACATTTTAATTTGCAGTGTACAAACTTAACATGATGAACAGGAATTACATTTACAGGTGACCAAAATTAAATATTTGAAAGCCACACTTCCAATAAACCATGCCTCCAATCTGGTAGGCTGCCACCTCTACAATATATTATTAAAAAGGTTAATAACTGAACCCCTTCCGTCACAAAAAGGTTTGGGTTTGAACCTTTACACAGGGGTTCCTCGAAGACCCTTTACACAGGGGTTCCTCGAAGACCCTTTTCAGAGGGGTTCCTCAAGGAACCTTTTTTAACTGGAAAGGTTCCTCCGGTGAGGCAACCCAAAAGGTTCTTCCAGGCACCTTTACTTCTAAGAGTGTACATTATCACTAAAATAGATCATTCTCATTTATCATTCTCATTTCGGGGAAATCCATCTCTGCATCTGTCTGAGACATAAATATTGTATTTCTCTTCCTCTATCTTCTCCTTCTCCTCCTCATTCCTCCTCCTCCTACATCCTCCACCTCCCTCCTCTTCATCCTCCTCCTTCTCCTCCTCCTCCTTCTTCCTCCTCCTCCTCCTCCTTCCTCCTCCCTGTCCCCTCCAGGATCTTGAAGTTGGACCTGGTGGTGCGGGATGTGAATGGGAACATGCTGGACCCAGAGAACACCAGCGTGATCAGCCTGTTCAGAGCACACCAAGATGCCACCACCAAGATCAACGAACGCATCAAAGAGGAACAGGTCAGGTTTTAACAAACCTATCACAACGATAAATCTTAGTGCTATAGGTTCTGGAATTATGGGCGCAGTAGCTGGTGGTGGCACGAAAGGGCTGGGTTTTGATGAATAATCAAGTTGTTGGTGTGTTGAGGCTTGGCACCTAACTGGCCAATCAGAACATGCTCCATGGCTAAATATATGGTTGCTTCAAGTTGGGTATTTATGGTATTTTATGTATTGCATTGTCATCAACTCCAATTTGAATGTTAGTCTATTATAGCCTAGTTCGTTAAATAGCCAGCACCATATTTGCAAAATATGATTAACATGTTTGCAGTCCGAATTGTTCTAATTGCACTGCTTCAATATGAAAATACATTGTTAAACACTATAGTATTCACACTGATATAGAGTCTAGGCCTACTGGAAATTGTAGTCTGGAAATGCCAACCGTAGTCAATAAGCATGAAGATTAAATATACTAGGCTATTGATAAGGCCTAAAAATATTGATAATTCGAATCAAATTCTAATAAAAACGAAACAACAACTTGTTTTAAATAGGCTACAGATGTAGGATCTTAATTTGAGCCAGTTTGCGACAGCAGGAGAAAATCCTGCAGCAACTAGAAATGTAAATTATTATGTTGATTATAATTCATGGACATTTGTGTAGGGGTTGATACAGTTTTCGTAAGGAAAAGTCAAGTCTGAAATTTCAACGTGGAAATTACAAACTTCAGAAGCCTTTTTTTAACCTCAAATATGCTACAAGTTTTACATTTCCTTCTTTGCAACAGGGTGATCAAATTAAGATCCTACATCTGTATGTCTGAAAAACAGTTACAGGTTAATTGCTCCCCGTGGGTTTATAATACAGACAAGGCAACTTGGAATATGGACTATGGAATTTAGATTATGGAGGGTTTTACGCACATCCAAACTTTTCACAGGAGCTGGATAAAAATTCAATATACAGAGAAAGGGGGAATGTCCACTCACCGTTATACTGCTCGCAAATGTAATGTTTTATAAACATAATGGAACCATTTTAGAGATCATATTTGCACTTCTTCAGATTGCATTGCATTCGAGCCATGACATGTTCTCACCATAAACCCATGGACGGTTAATATTTTTTAATACGTTTGGTTTTTAATCAAATTAAACGAAAAACAGTCAATCTTAAAAAAAAAAAAAAAAAAAAAACAAGATCGGGTCAGAAGCATGATATCATAAATCGCTTCTCTAGTTCCACGGCACTATGTGCACATGAAGGCCTAAATGTCTTCACGCATAACATTCACACGTCTATACAAAACACTAGGCTCCTGTCAATTGTGTCGTTGCCTATGTGAGAGGCAGATTCTCAAAAAGATCTGCCGTTGATATGGCATTATAGGATGACTGAATAGTTTGGACTGGAGGAACGTGTCTTTGGTAATCGGACGAGGGGCGCTCTTTGAAAATGGGGATGAATAACCTACTTGAACAATCGAAATTAAGTATGCAGGTATGTGCATTGTGAAAAAGCATGAGGGCAAAAACCTCTAAAATATTTCGAAACATTCTCAGTAGACCATTTAAAACCACTTTATTCATAGGCTACTTGGCTAATGGCCATTGATAAAAAGACACACTTACTGTATGCGATGCCGCTGAACCAGCCTTGATTAAGTGGAGGGTAGGCTACGCTTGGTTTTTAATTAAATTAAACGAAATGGGGGGAAACCAATCGTTTTTTAATGGTTCTAAATATGATATTCACCTGCACAAAATGCACATTTCTCTTCCATGTGCACTGTGTGTCATGGCTGGATCGGCTGCGCTTCTGCTTTTAAGATACATGCCATTATCAACAGCGTTACCGTTAAGACCTGCTTTTCGTGGATCCTAAAACTTCCAAATAGCGCTGCATGAAATGGTCACTTGCGCTTGTTTTTAAGGACACACCTCAGATATTGCCACCCCTCCCACCTCAGATGTTAGACCGGTAAATTGCCGAACCTGGCGTTAGAGCTGGAAAATGCCAGTGCACCCGTTTTTACATGACAAAATTGCAAACTCTTGCGCCTCCTTAGCGCCAGCCGAAAATAGAGCGCAGCGTAAGAGAGAAAGACTGAGACTAACAGAAAGTGGGGACAGGTTTGAAAAGGTAGAGTTACAGAGATTGGGAAAACAGTGTGGATGAAGTAAGATTGAGAGAGATGAGAAAGTAATGGTAGAGATAGAGAGAATACAAAGAAGACTTTGATATCCAAGAGTATAGCCATTGTTCACACTCCCCTTACATTTCTCTCTCTCTCTCTCTCTCTCTCTCTCTCTCTCTCTCTCTCTCTCTCTCTCTCTCTCTCTCTCTCTCTCTCTCTCTCTCTCTCTCTCTCTCTTTCTCTCTATTTCTCTCTCTCTCTCTCGCTCTCTCTCTCTCTCTCTCTCTCTTTCTTTCTCCCTCTTCTCTAGTCCAACGATCAGACGGGCCACTCGGTAATCTCGGCCCGGATCCAGTCCTCTCCCACTCACAGCCTCTATGTCTTCGTCCGGAACTTTGTCTGTCGGATCGGAGAGGATTCTGAACTCTTCATGTCCCTATACGACCCCAACAAACAGACCATCATCAGGTCTCTATCTAAACATCCCTCTATCCATTTATCTTTTTACATCTATCTTGTGCTTCTGTCACCCTCCCTCCCTCTGTCTCTATTTCTTTCTCTCTCCTCCTCTCTCTCCCCCGCTCTCTTTCTCCTCTTACCCCCCTTCCATATTTTTTTATTCCTGTACTGTACTGTACTGAAGCGTAGTCAATTAACGATAAACATAGAATGCTGCACATAGAAGGCAGAGTTTGACTGACACCTGTCAGTGCTCTAACACCAGTGATGATGATAGATACCTGCCTCTCTCATTCTCACTACTTTTCTCTTCCTCTCCTCCTCTTATATCCATGTCACCCTGTTCTCAATATGGTTGCAGTCTAATGTACTGTATATACTATTTCATTATGAACATAGTAATGCAGAACATAGTGGGGCAGAGCTTGACTAACAGCTAATGGGGATAGCTGTCTATCACTGTCAAGCAGACAGATCTATGCTCCTCTCCTTCCTTTCTCATCCAGACCAGAGTATTACAGCTGGGATGTGACATTCTCCATCATGCCCACAGTGTCTAAAGGCCTCCTTCTGTCAAACTGTGACAGGGATATTTTTGGAAGGTGTTGGCTTTGGATGGCTTGGCAACGTTTCCCCAATGTACACTTAGAGCAGATTGATAGGAAGTCACTTTCAATCTTTGCTGGACAAGAATAGTTATATTTAGGAGAAACGTTTTTTTTGAAGAGCTGAAAGCAATGGATTACCACATTTTTTAGTTAATGTCAATTTGTTTGTTTTTTACATGTGCATTCAATGCATTTAGATTCTTATTGAGGGTTTATTAAGTGTTTATAAAACATGTTCTGTTAACCCTTTCCATGCCCTCCCTCTCCAGTGAGAACTACCTGATCCGCTGGGGCAGTAAAGGCTTTCCTAAAGAGATTGAAATGCTGAACAACCTGAAGGTTGTCTTTACAGTAAGTCATCACTAGAGAGCACTGTTTGATGCAGAAATGATTCGGTATCCCAAGTTATTGAGGTAGCTACCATCATATCATTTAGGTCAGTGGTTCTCAACTGGTTGTGCCTTGGGACCCCCGTGTTATTTAGATTTCTCCTCCCTCCATCCCTCCAGGACCTGGGTAATAAGGATTTGAACAGAGAGAAGATCTACCTGATCTGTCAGATAGTGAGAGTGGGTTGTATGGAACTGAAAGAGACTAACACCAAGAAGTGTACCCAAGGCCTCCGCAGGCCCTTTGGAGTGGCAGGTAGGTACTAGTTTATGGCATAAGGTAGTGGGCAGTGTTCGAGATATTAGCTGATGTACGAAGGGCTATATGAAATAAAATTGATTGATTGATTGATTAACAAGATTTTGAATTGGGATCCACTGACACTGGTCACGGCTTGACATACATTGATATTATTTACTAGGTGGATCACAGAAAATGTAAAAGAGTCCATTCTTTTCTTCTTCTCTGCAGTGATGGACATCAGTGACATCATCAAAGGAAAGATAGAGTGTGACGAGGAGAAGCAGTATTTTATCCCCTTCGTTCCGTGAGTCCTGCCTCCTTCTCCCTGTCCTCCTCTCTCCCTCCATCCCTATCTAGTTTAGTCATTGTAATGTAGTTGAAAAGTGTATATATTTTTTATTATTCTTGTAATTTCTTTAGGGGGTATGTAGTTGAAATGTTTGTGTGTGTGTGTTTACAGGGTTGTGGGGGAGAATGACTTCCTCCACTCCCTGCTGAACAAGGTGACATCATCACGAGGAGACAGTGGAGGACAAGGTACCACACACCTCACAGAGTAGCCCAAATGAGCACTTCATGGCTGATGTCTCTACTCAATCAATCAATGACATTTTATTTATAAAGCCCTTTTTACATCAGCAGATGTTACAAAGTGCTATACAGAAACCCAGCCTAAAACCCCAAACAGCAAGCAATGCAGATGTAGAAGCACGGTGGCTAGGAAAAACTCCCTAAAAAAGCAGAAACCTAGGAAGAAACCTAGAGAGGAACCAGGCTCTGAGGGGTGGCCTGTCCCCTTCTGGCTGTGCCGGGTGGAGATTATAACAGTACATGGCCATTAAGGCCAGATTTTCCTCCAAGATGTTCAAACGTTCATAGACGACCAGCAGGGTCAAATAATAATCAGTGGTTGTGGAGGTTGCAACAGGTCAGCACCTCAGGAGTAAATGTCACTTGGCTTTTCATAGACAGGCATTTAGAGGTTGAAATAGCAGGTACGGTAGAGAGAGAAAGTTGAAAACAGCAGGTCTGGGACAAGGTAGCACATCTGGTGAACAGGTCAGGGTTCCATAGCCGCAGGCAGAAGAGTTGAAACTGGAGCAGCAGCACGACTAGGTGGACTGGGGACAGCAAGGAGTCATCAGGCCAGGTAGTGTGATGCGTGATTTGAAGGAGTCAGGCGCAGGATGGTAAATCACAGAATACAGAGTTTATGCCGTAATACAGCGTTACGCAGAATAGCGTCAACCAGTCCAGTGCGCAAAACAGGCGCACTGGAACAAAACAGGCACACAGGGAAAATATACCCCGGCAATACAAAATGCACTGAGCTCAACCGAGCTACTACTCCTCACAATAAACAATCACCCACAAGGACAAGGGGGGCAGAGGGAACACTTATACACGTACTAATGAGGGGATATGAACCAGGTGTGTGTAATAGATAAGACACAACAAATGGAATGATGAGATATGGAGAAGGAGAGGAGGCAGCTTCGGAGGAAGTCGTGACAGGTAGTCCTGAGGCATGGTCCTGGGGCTCAGGTCCTCCAGGATGGGAGGGAGAGAGGGAGAGAGAGAGAATTAGAGGGAGCATACTTAAATTCACACAAGACACCGGATAAGACAGGAGAATAACACCAGATATAACAGACTGACCCTAGCCCCCCGGCATATAGACTATTGTAGCATAGATACTGGAGGCTGAGACAGGGGTGGGTCGGGGGATACTGTGGCCCCGTCCCACGATACCCCCAGACAGGGCCAACCAGGCAGGATATAACCCCACCCACTTTGCCAAAGCACAGACCCCACACCACCAGAGGGATATCAACAGACCACCAACCTACTACCCTGAGACAAGGCTGAGTATAGCCCACGAAGATCTCCTCCAATGCACGAGCCTGAGGGAGCGACAAACCGGACAGGAAGATCACGTCAGTGACTCAACCCACTCAAGTGATGCACCCCTCCTAGGGACGGCATGGAAAGCACCAGTAATTCAGTGACTCAGCCCCCGTAATAGGGTCAGAGGCAGAGAATCCCAATTGACATACAGGAACCGGCCAAGCAGAGACAGCAAGGGCGGTTTGTCGCTCCAGTGCCTTTACGTTCACCTTCGCACCCCTGGGCCAGACTACACTCAATCATAGAACCTACTGAAGAGATGAGTTTTCAGTAAAGACTTAAAGGTTGAGACCGAGTCTGCGTCTCTCACATAGATAGGCAGACCATTCCATAAAAATGGAGCTCTATAGGAGAAAGCCCAGCCTCCAGCTGTTTGCTTAGAAATTCTAGGGACAATAAGGGGGCATGCGTCTTGTACATGTAGGTATGTACGGCAGGACCAAATCGGAGAGATAGGTAGGCGCAAGCCCATGTAATGCTTTGTAGGTTAGCAGTAAAACCTTGAAATCAGCCCTAGCCTTAACAGGAAGCCAGTGTAGAGAGGCTAGCACTGGAGTAATATGATCAAATGTTTCTAGCAGCCGTATTGTAACTGAAGTTTATTTAGTGCTTTATCCGGGTAGCCGGAGAGTAGAGCATTGCAGTAGTCTAATCTAGAAGTGACAAAAGCATGGATTAGCTTTTCTGCATCATTTCTGGACAAGAAGTTTCAGATTTTTGCAATGTTACGAAGATGGAAAAAGCTGTCCTTGAAATATTCTTGATATGTTCGTCAAAAGAGAGATCAGGGTCCAGAGTAACGCTGAGGTCCTTCACAGTTTTTTTTTAGACAACTGTACAACCATCAAATTAATTGTCAGATCCAACAGCAGATCTCTTTGTTTCTTCGGACCTAGAACTAGCATCTCTGTTTTGTCCGAGTTTAAAAGTAAAACATTTCCATTCACTTCCTTATGTCTGAAACACATGCTTCCAGGGTAGGCAATTTTGGGGCTTCACCATGTTTCATCGAAATGTAGAGCTGTGTGTCGTCCGCATAGCAATGAAAGTTAACATTGTGTTTCCGAATGACATCACCAAGAGCTAAAATATATAGTGAAAACAATAGTGGTCCTAAAACGGAACCTTGAGGAACACCAAAACGTACAATTGATTTGTCAGAGGACGAACCATCCACAGAGACAAACTGATATCTTTCCGACAGATAAGATCTAAACCAGGCAAGAACTTGTCCGTGTAGACCAATTAAGGTTTCCAATCTCTCCAAAAGAATGTGGTGATCGATGGTGTCAAAAGCAGCACTAAGGTCTAGGAGCATGAGGACAGATGCAGAGCCTTGGTCTGACGCCATTAAAACGTCATTTACCACCTTCACAAGTGCGGTCACAGTGCTATGATGGGGTCTAAAACTAGACTCAAGCGTTTCGTATAAATGTTTTATCTTCAGGAAGGCAGTGAGTTGCTGCACAACAGCTTTTTTGTAAAATGGGAATGGGAGATTCGATATAGGCTGATAGTTTGTTACATTTTCTGGGTCAAGGTTTGGCTTTTTCAAGAGAGGCTTTATTACTGCCACTTTTAGTGAGTTTGGTACACATCCAGTGGATAGAGAGCCATTTATTATGTTCAACATAGGAGGGCCAAGCACAGGAAGTAGCTCTTTCAGTAGTTTAGTTGGAATAGGATCCAGTATGCAGCTTGAACGTTTAGAGACCATGACTATTGTCATGAATGTGTCAAGAGATATAGGATTAAAAAACATGAGTGTCTCCATTGATCCTTGGTCCTGGCAGTTTTGTGCAGACTCAGGACAGCTGAGCTTTGGAGAAATACGCAGATTCAAAGAGGAGTCCGTAATTTGCTTTCTAATGATCATGATCTTTTCGTCAAAGAAGTTCATGAATTCATCACTGCTGAAGTAAAAGGCATCCTCTCTTGGGGAGTGCTGCTTTTTAGTTAGCATTGCGAAAGTATCAAATAGAAATGTTGGATTGTTCTTATTCTCCTCAATTAGGTTGGAACAATAGGATGATCAAGCAGCAGTGAGGGCTCTTCGATATTGCTCTGTACTTTCTTTCCAAGCTAGTAGGAAGACTTCCAGTTTGGTGGAGCGCCATTTCTGTTGCAATTTTCTGGAGGCTTGCTTCAGGGCTCGGGTATTTTCTGTATACAAGGGAGCTAGTTTCTTGTGACAAATGTTTTTTGTTTTTAGGGGTGCGACTGCATCTAGGGTATTACGCAAGGTTAAATTTAGATCCTCAGTTAAATGTAGATCCTCAGTTAGGTCGTTAACTGATTTTTGTACTCCGACGTCCTTGAGTAGGTGGAGGGAGTCTGGAAGGGCCTCTAGGAATCTTTGGGTTGTCAGAGAATTTATAGCACGGCTTTTGATGGTCCTTGGTTGGGGTCTGAGCAGATTATTTGTTGCGATTGCAAACGTAATAAAATGGTGGTCCGATAGTCCAGGGTTATGAGGAAAAACATTTAGATCCACAATATTTATTCCACGGGACAAAACTAGATCTAGGGTATGACTGTGGCAATGAGTAGGTCCGGAGACATGTTGGACAAAACCCACTGAGTCGATGATGGCTCCGAAAGCCTTTTGGAGTGGGTCTGTGGACTTTTCCATGTGAATATTAAAGTCACCAAAAATTATAATTATAATATTATCAAGGTCCGATAGGAATTCAGGGAACTCAGTGAGGAACTGTGTATACGGCCCAGGAGGCCTGTAAACAGTAGCTATAAAAAGTGATTGAATAGGCTGCATAGATTTCATGACTAGAAGCTCAAAAGTCGAAAACACAGTATTTTTTGGGGGGGTAAATTGACATTTGCTATCGTAAATGTTAGCAACACCTCCGCCTTTGTGGGATGCGCGGGGGATATGGTCACTAGTGTAACCAGGAGGAGAGGCCTCATTTAACACAGTAAATTCATCAGGCTTAAGCCATGTTTCAGTCAGGCCAATCACATCAAGATTATGATCAGTGATTAGTTCATTGACTATGACTGCCTTGGAAGTCAGGGATCTAACATTAAGTAGCCCTATTTTGAGATGTGAGATATCACAATCTCTTTCAATAATGACAGGAATGGAGGAGGTCTTTATTCCAGTGAGATTGCTAAGGCAAACACCACCATGTTTAGTTTTGCTCAACCTTGATCGAGGCACAGACACAGTCTCAATGGGGATAGCTGAGCTGACTACACTGACTGTGCTAGTGGCAGACTCCACTAAGCTGGCAGGCTGGCTAAAAGCCTGCTGCCTGGCCTGCACCCTGTCTCATTGTGGAGCTAGAGGAGTTAGAGCCCTGTCTATGTTTGTAGATAGGATGAGAGCACCCCTCCAGCTAGGATGGAGTCCATCACTCCTCAGCAGGCCAGGCTTGGTCCTCTTTGTGGGTGAGTCCCAGAAAGAGGGCCAAATATCTACAAATTCTATCTTTTGGGAGGGGCAGAAAACAGCTTTCAACCAGCGATTGAGTTGTGAGACTGCTGTAGAGCTCATCACTCGCCCTAACTGGGAGGAGGCCAGAGACAATTACTTGATGCCGACACATCTTTCTAGCTAATTTACACGCTGATGCTATGTTGCTCTTGGTGACCTCTGACTGTTTCAGCCTAACATCATTGGTGCCGACGTGGATAGCAATATACAGTGGGGAGAACAAGTATTTGATACACTGCCGATTTTGCAGGTTTTGATGAGTGGAGAACAGGAGGGCTTCTTAAAGAAAAACTAACAGGTCTGTGAGAGACAGAATTCTTACTGGTTGGTAGGTGATCAAATACTTATGTCATGCAATAAAATGCAAATTAATTACTTAAAAATCAAACAATGTGATTTTCTGGATTTTTGTTTTAGATTCCGTCTCTCACAGTTGAAGTGTACCTATGATAAAAATGACAGACCTCTACATGCTTTGTAAGTAGGAAAACCTGCAAAATCGGCAGTGTATCAAATACTTGTTCTCCCCACTGTACCTATGCTCTTTACAATCGCCAGTTTTTGCCTTAGCCAGCACCATCTTCAGATTAGCCTTTACGTCGGTAGCCCTGCCCCCTGGTAATCAGTGTATGATCGCTGGATGATTATTTTTAAGTCTAATATTGTGGGTAATGGAGTCGCCAATGACTAGGGTTTTCAATTTGTCAGAGCTAATGGTGGGAGGCTTCGGTGGCTCAGACCCCGTAACAGGTGGAGGAGAGACCTGAGAAGGCTCGGCCTCTGACTCTGACTCGTTGCATAATGGGGAGAACAGGTTGAAGGTTTATGTCGGCTGAATGAGCGACACCGGTTGAGCATGCCGACAGCATTTCTTTCCAGAAGCCTTGAGAAATTTGTCCAGCGAGGGGATTTATACTACTATCTGTACTTACTGGTGGCACAGATGCTGTTTTATCCTTTCCTACACTTACATTGCCCTTGCCTAACGATTGCGTCTGAAGCTGTGCTTGCAGCACGACTATCCTCACCATAAGGCGATAGTTCTCCTGTATATTATGAGTACAGCGACTGCAATTAGATGGCATAGTGTTAATGTTACTACTTAGCTTCGGCTGGTGGAGGTCCTGTAGAACCATGTCCAGATAAAGCGTCCGGGGTGAAAAAGTTGAGCGAGTAAAAAATATAAAAAATAACTAAGACGTTGGTAAAATGTGTTAAATGAAGATAGATTAAACGCTTTAAAAAAAGTAAAAACCATCAAGTTTAGCAGGTAGCCAAGCACAAACAGTGTAGCACGGAGACAAGTGACACGCTCAAAACGGACTGTTGTTATTACAGTACTATTACTGAATGAACTCTTCATACTATTCCAACGACTGTATTGTCAATGCTTGCCCCCCCTCCCCCTCCTTCCTCCAGGTCTGTGGGTGACGATGAAGGCCCTGGTGGGTGACATCGTCCAGATCCGTAAGGAGTACCCGCACCTGGTGGACCGCAGCACGGTAGTGGCCCGTAAACTGGGCTTCCCAGAGATCATCATGCCGGGGGACATCCGGAACGACATCTACCTGACGCTGTGGACCGGGGACTTTGACAAGTACAACAAGACCAGCCAGAAGAACATGGAGGTCATCATGATGGTGTGCGACGAGGAGGGCAAGGCCGTGCCGGTGAGTTGGGGAGGGTGTGGGTGTGTCACACCAATATAAAAACTCTGTCACACAAACAGAACATCTCCTCACACTAACAGTATTACACCCATGGCCATCTGGAAGTAGCCAAGCAGGGATACTGCTTCAGCACTGTATCATACTTTGTATTTCATATGTCATATACTGTTTAGAGTTGTTTGGTTGGATGTATCTAGGCGGATGGGAATTAGTTGAATTGATTGTCGTCTCTCTCTTTTTGTCATCTCTCTCTTTCTGTCTGTCCTGTAGAACTCTATCTGTCTGGGAGCTGGGGATCGGCCGCTGAACGAATACAGATCTGTCATCTACTACCAGGTCAAACAACCACGATGGATGGAGACATTCAAGGTCAGTGTGGGTGTTTGATTATCTAGTTGTTGTATGCTTGTGCATGTTGATCAACTGTTGCCCTCTGTGTGTAATACTACGAACAGTCTGTTTAATATGTGGTGTAATACTGTAGGGCCCTGGCTTTGTGCATTCATATGACATAGCAAGATTTCATCCTGTATTTTAAGCCTTATCCAGAAATGGGAATTACACCGAAAATGAAAGCAATTGTCTGATGATGGTGCTGGACCATCTGACATAAAAAGAAAACTGGAAAGTTTGAGGAAAAAGTTTTAAATAAAGGTTAAAATCCAGTCATGTCACATGATTGCGCAAAACACAGGGCTCTTACAGAAGATGTAATGTTGTCCTCCGTCCTGCAGGTGGCCATCCCTCTGGAGGAGATGCATAGGAGCCACCTGCGCTTCATGTTCAGACACCGCTCCTCTCAGGAGTGTGAGTACACCCAACTCTGGCCTCCCATATCCTCACATTGCATTCTTACTTTCTTTACAACTGAGCTGAATGAACAGGAGTGGTAAAAGCAATGTGACAGGGAGCAAAGTCATTGCGTTCATCTACTAAATTAATTATCTTCGGTCTGTCTCCCCATCGTCTCTCTTTCTGTAGCTAAGGATAAGAGTGAGAAGAACTTTTCCATGGCGTTCGTTCGTCTGATGAAGCCGGATGGAACAGTGCTGCAGGATGGACTTCATGACCTGGTGGTCTTCAAGGTCAGAACTGAATCAACTCTGATTGACATAACTACAGAACTACTGAAAGAACTCATATTCATATGGAGAAATGAACCAGTACAGATTCACAGTCAAATAGCCAAAGGAACTGAACTATTATAGATTCACAGCTGAAACTGGAGAACTGAATCACGTCAGAGTCATAGCAAAATCACGAAGGATACTGAATTATTATAAATTCACAACTGACTGAATAGGCTAAACTAAATCATTGCAGATTCACTGCCAAATGAACTGGAATTATTGATCCCCCACCTCTTTCTCTCTCTCAGGGGGACAGTAAGAGGATGGAGGATGTGAACTCATACCTGTCCCAGCCCTCTACGGTTCAAAAGGGGGGGACACTGAGCCGCAGCAGTGTAGGAGGCCTGTCTGTCAGCTCCAGAGACAGCTTCACCATCTCAACCCTTGTCTGCTCCACCAAACTCACCCAGAACGGTGTGTGTGTATGTGGGGGGAGGGGTGGGGTGGGGTCTCAGAACAGACTGAGTATGTTCTAGATTAGAATAATGTGAGAGGGATGTCATAGTTTTGTCCTACACACACACACATGCACAAACACACACACACACACACACACACACACACACACACACACACACACACACACACACACACACACACACACACACACACACACACACACACACACACACACACACACACACACACACACACACAAACACACACACACACAGTCAGGGTCTTGCAATACAGGTGCTGTGTAACAGCTGTTGGTGAGGAAGACAGTCCATCATTGTAATGATAACTGTGCTGCAGTATTAATCACCAGTCCAGATACAACACACACAAGTGCTAATTAAAAATGTTAAAACACAAACACACACACACACACACACACACACACAGTCTTGTACAACTAACCTTCTGGGGACACACAATTCAGTCCCATTCAAAATCCTATTTTCCCTAACCCCTAACCCTAACCCTAAACCTAACCCTAACCCTAACCTTAACCTACTTGGTCTCCACAAGTATAGTTAAACACGTCCACACACACGTCCACACACACACACACACACACACACACACACACACACACACACACACACACACACACACACACACACACACACACACACACACACACACACACACACACACACACACACACACACACACACACATACACACACACACAAACACAAACACAAACACAAATACAAACACACACACACACAACGTCATGCTGGGGAAAAATTTTATGCATGGAGGCCATTCAGATGTTCTCCTAGAAAGCAGTTTGAATTAAAAACAACACATTTGATTAACAAACCAGCTGTAAAATATTGTCAAACCAGCATTTGCCAAGTCTTTGTTTTTGCTAACCATACCTTATAAATGTCACGAATTGTTACAACTAGCCCAAACTAGCGAAATCGCTAATATCGCTAGCTAGTACAACTTTGGCAGCAAGCTATATTAGCAACATCACATACTTTATTTTCTTTGAAAGACACTAGAGATCTGTAAATTACTTAGCGAATGCAAAGTCCCTGAGCCAAGCGGTTGCTTCTGCTGAGTTTGTGGATAGGACAGACTTAAAGAATTGGGTGCATGGTTTGCTCCACCCCACAGGCACTTAGGGGGCTTACTTTTTATGCCCCATCAGTGGAGGTTGGCGAGGCATGGGCTGTGGCCAGTCCTGAACCTATTGAGGGGGAACCACTCCTTCCTGGGGAGGTTGAAACCAGGAGGCTGTTGTGTGGGGGTAGTGATGAGGTGCTTATTTGTCAGGTCCAGTGACTCCCATTATTGTGTCCATTTGTGTTGAAGTCGTCAGTGGGTGGGTCTTTCCAAATTGGCTTTCTTGAGGGGAGGCGTATCTTTGGTGGGTTGAGGAGGTCCTCGTGGAGCGGTAGGTATGTGGCGTTGTAGACTTTTTCAATCATTTTGTGGGTAGTTTCGAGTCTCCGGATATGTGGAAGGGGGATGTTTGCCAGGACAGGGAGCCAGGGAAGCAGGGTGGATCGTAGTGTGCCAGTGATGATGCGCATGGTGGCGTTAAGCTGTGTGTCGACTCTGTTTGTGTGTGACGACCTTGACCAAACAGATGCACAGTACTCTGCTGCAGAGAATGAGATTGCTAGGGCTGAGGTACGAAGGGTTGTGGTTGCGGCGCCCCATGTTCAGCCAGCTAGTTTGGAGATCAAATACAATTTTATTTGTCACATGAATCATAAAAAACAGGTGTAGACTAACAGTGAAATGTTTACTTACCAACAATGCAGAGAGAAAAATATAAATATTCTAGAAAAAATTATAACTCAAGGAATAAATACACAATGAGCAACAATAACATGGGGTACCAGTACCGAGTCGATGTGCAGGGGTACGAGGTAATTAAGGTAGATATGTATATATACTGTAGGTAGGGGTAAAGTGACTAGGCAACAGGATAGATAATAAACAGTAGCAGCATCGTATGTATATGATTAGTCAAAAGAGTTTGTGCAAAAATGGTCAATGCAATGTCTAACAGCTATTTGGTGAATCAATGTCTCGCCAGATCACATCATTTATAATGATTATTCTACATAACATAACCGAATATAACAGCATATTATAAAGTTACTGTTAGACCAAAAACACCACCTAATTTCATATGAGATTTTAGGATGATCAGCTAAATGGCCCCCAAAAAATCTAAAGCGGCAAGAAGTCAATAGCGTGGTGCCACTAGGCAAAATATGTGGTTTGATTGAAACAAAATACAGGTATGGCTACCCCATAGTTGGTTCAAATTATCTGCTCGAATTCGCTCACGAAACCATAGATAGGCCAACACTGTAGGCCAGGGATCATCAACTAGATTCTGCCGCTGGGCGAATTCTTTGTGAGCGGATGGTCGGGGGGCTGGAACATAATTACAAATAATTTGTAGACTGCAAATTGACCGCAAGAAGCCCAAACATATATAATATTTGACTAAAACATTATAATTTCAAACCTTGCTTACATTTGTATATTATCATGTGTTTTTTTATAAAAAATAAAAAATAAATTGAAAACTTGTGGAGCGAAATTAAACCAAAATCATCCCGCGGGCCGCCAGTTGGGGAACCCTGCTGTAGGCCTACATAATTCAGGAAGATCTAAATGCATATTCCCATGAAACTGAGATCAAATTATTGGCATGCAGTTTGGACATTTCAGCTCTAAAACGAAAAGTAGGCTATTATTATTCACGATTGACAGATAGCGTATTTTGAAATTAGGTATGCCCAATTTAGTGTTTGAGGGTTTTAAAAATCGAAACATTAATTGAGACAATATGTGTGGGCGTAGGCAGACATTGCATTTGAAGGATGCATTTTATGCATATTCTAAAATGACAATAGGCTACATCTGTCAGTACAAACTTTGATTGAGAAATTATGACATCATTGAAATTTTTTGGCAGCTCTGAAAAACAGCACTACACCACTGCAGCTAACTGAAGTTTCTGTGCTTAGGTTCTTGGGCTTCAAGCCCCCAGAACAATGAATGATTGATTAAATGATTGTTGCGGGTGTGCTGGCTGGGTTATGGAGAATCAATGACAGGTAGGCGGATTGATTGATGGATGGATAGATGGATAGATGGATGGATGGATGGATGGATGGATGGATTGATGGATGGTTTTCTTTCTTTCTCCTGCTCAGTGGGTTTGCTGGGTCTAATGAAATGGAGGACTCGTCCTGAGCTCCTCAAAGAAAACCTGGAGAAACTCAAGATCATCGACGGAGAGGAGGTTGTCAAGGTGTGTAAAATTTGTGTGTGTTATTTGTGTTTGTGTGTGTGTATGATCTCATGGCCTCTCCTCCCCTCCCTGTGTAGTTTCTCCAGGACACTCTGGATGCTCTGTTCACCATCATGATGGAACACTCCCAGACTGACGACTACGACATCCTAGTGTTCGACGCCCTGGTGAGTGTGTGGTGTGTGTGTGTGTGTTCTTGTCTCTGTCTGGTATTCTCTGTCACTCTTGTACCTTTTCTTTTCTCTGTCTGTCAGTCTGTCGCTGCATGTAGCTGTCTGTCTGTCGATCTCTGTCCATATGGCTCTGTCATTCTTCTTCTTAATAAACATGTCTTCCTGCTTGTTGCTTGTTCGTTTGTCTTTTTGCCAGTGAGGCACATCTCTCTCACCATATCAATCACAATGTGTATCCCTTCTTCTCTCTCCCGCTCTCTTTCTCTCTCTCTTGCTCTCTCTCTCTCTCTCTCTCTCTCTCTCTCTCTCTCTCTCTCTCTCTCTCTCTCCCTTTCTCTCTCTCTTGCTCTCTCTCTTTCTCTCTCTCTCTCTTTCTCTCTCTCTCTTGCTCTCTCACACACTCTCTCTCTTCTCCATCTCTCTCTCTCTCTCTCATCTCTCTCTCTCTCCGTCTCTCTCATCTCTCTCTCTGCTCTCCTCTCTCTTCTCCTCTCTCTCTCTCTCCTCTCTCTCTCTCTCTCTCTCTCTCTCTCTCTCAGATCTACATCATTGGTCTGATAGCAGACAGGAAGTTCCAGCATTTTAACACAGTGTTGGAGGCCTATATTAAACAGCACTTCAGCGCCACGCTGGCCTACAAGTCAGTACTACTTCCTGTGTCTAACCCCTCCTCTTCCTGTCCGCCTGTCTGCCAGTCTCACTGTCTCTCAGAAGCAGCCTCAGGAGTGGCTGAACTCCTCTTTCACATTCATAGTCAGATTGTGGAGGTAAAGCAGCAAGCTCTATCGATAATGACTCATCATGCCAAACTCATAATGACATTTCCACAGGAGATGATGTACACATTGTTTTTCCACTGTTGAGTGACAGTACATATAAAGTATGTCCTCATTATTATTCTGATTACAGATGATGGTAGGCCTCATGATGGTGCTGGGTTCAGGTAAACTGTCACTGTTGAAGTAGCTGTGCTGATGCTGGGTGTAGTGCATCAATCAGCGACAAAGGTGTCAGTGTGTTATTGTGAATGCTGTGTGCCTGTAGGTCATTAAATAAGTAGCCGGTTGCAGTAGAAGTTAATGGATGGATAAGCCAGGGTAAGGTGGATGACTAGACCATGGTATTTTACTCAAGGCTGGCCAGAATACTTATACTGGGCTCATTGAGTCTTAACTTCAAAACCCACTGGTTTACCCTCGCCTCTGCTACTCAGTTCAATTTCCATTGCTTTACAATGTACAATGTACATATTGCCTAAGCAGTATGTACTCTCTCTCGCTCATTCTCACTTTATCCCTCTCTCGTTCTCTCTTGACATTGCTCCCTGTTGCTCTCAAAATCACACACACTCCACCTCTCCCTCTCCTCTCTCTTTCTCTCCCTGCTCTCTCTCTCTCGCTCTCCCCGCCCTCGTCCCTCGTCCCCCCATCTCTCTCTCCAATCTGTGTTAAAACAGAGGATTCTCTCTCCTTTTTCTCATTGAGATAAAATCTATGTTTCAAGAGACCTGGTCCAACCACGACAGCAGCAGGGGGGAACAATGTTTCAGACAAATATTAGACACACTGTAACGACTTATAGACATAGACACACCATAACAAATTAAAATAAACATGTTTTGACGTAGACACAGATACAATTCAATTACAGAAACATACAAGCGTCATAGATTTTAAAAACCTAGCATATATACCACCCCATCAAGTCCTAATGACAATCACATTGTCACGATCGTTTACGGATGAGACGGACCAAGGCGCAGCGTGATAAGCGTACATATTTATTTAGTACTGAACACACAACAAAAACAACAAACAAACGATACGTGAAGTCCAAGGTAGACTACTAACATACCTATATGGAACAAGATCCCACACAGACTGGTGCCAAACGGCTGCCTAAGTATGGTCCCCAATCAGAGACAACAAACTACAGCTGCCTCTGATTGGGAACCACCCTGGCCAACATAGATCTACACGATCTAGAAACTCAAACATAGAAAACTAAACATAGAAACTACACACCCTGGCTCAACATTTAAGAGTCCCCAGAGCCAGGGCGTGACACACATTCCTCAGTAACATGTGAGTCAACCAAACTTTTAAACTCCTCCAAGGAAACAAGATCCTGGAGTTTCAAGCTGGTCTGGAGAGAATTTCAAGTCCACAGAGCTGAGTAGCTAAAACACCTTTTGCCATGATCCGTTCTGATTTTAGGAACCGTTAAAAGTAAGTAAGAGTGAGATCGCAACTGGTATTTATTTTCAGACCTTATCCAAGAAGAACAGAGATAAAGCTGCAGTTTTCCCAAAATGGCCTAATAGATCATAGTATACCAATGTTTAAGCCTACGTAAAGTCAACGAAGACCAGCCAACAGTACTATAGAGATCACAGTGGTGTGAAGTCCAGCCAACAGCACTATAGAGATCACAGTTGTGTGAAGACCAACCAACAGCACTATAGAGATCACAGTTGTGTGAAGTCCAGCCAACAGTACTATAGAGATCACAGTGGTGTGAAGTCCAGCCAACAGTACTATAGAGATCACAGTGGTGTGAAGTCCAGCCAACAGCACTATAGAGATCACAGTGGTGTGAAGTCCAGCCAACAGCACTATAGATATCACAGTGGTGTGAAGTCCAGCCAACAGTACTATAGAGATCACAGTGGTGTGAAGTCCAGCCAACAGTACTATAGAGATCACAGTGGTGTGAAGTCCAGCCAACAGTACTATAGAGATCACAGTGGTGTGAAGTCCAGCCAACAGTACTATAGAGATCACAGTGGGGTGAAGTCCAGCCAACAGCACTATAGAGATCACAGTGGTGGTAGTGCTTGAGGTCTGCATATAAATTACATCACTGTAGTCCAAGACAGACAGGAATGTACACCATACCAGCTCTATTCTGGCCACAGAAGAAAAACAAGCCTTATGCCGGTAATAAAAACCTATTCTTAACTTGATCTTCTTTACTTGGTTCTCAACATGGTTAGTGAAGGTCAGCTTCTCATCCACCCAAACTCCCAGATATTTGTACGTCTTGACTTGCTCTATGGAATTTCCTTCCAAGGTAGAAATGACATGGTTTACCAACAAGCTCTCACAGTCTCACGTCAGAATTAGACATTCATTCATGTTTCTCAATCGTCAAATTTTGAAGTGGTTCCAAACGGCAAATTTCAATGTGTTTAAGGTTAGGCATTAACTCCGAATTTTTAAGGGTTAAGGTTTGGGATAGGCTTAAAACAAAAATCTCAAAAACAACTTTCTATCGTTGGATTCAAACATGCAACCTTTGGCACCAGAGGCAGACATGAGACTGTGAGAGTTAGTTGGAAAACCATGTCAATACTACCTACTTGAAGGTAACACCGCTCACTGTTGTCCCTACTGGTCGGTTTCCACGTCATCTTCCGACATCCTCAGACATGGATGGACGTCGAATACTGACTTGTATCACGGGTGACCTGGCTGGGTTTTCAGAGTGTTTAGCGTTGGAATATACCATTTATTTTGTTTTAGAGGAATTCAGAACAAGCTTAAAACCATACAGATTCTGTTGAATGATGTTAAAAACTGTTTGAGCTTCAAAAGCCAACTGCTGCCACTTGAGTAGAGAACAGTGTCATCCGCATAAAAATGTACATCAGCTGTCTCAATATATCTCTCTAAGGGGTCAAACAGAAGCTTAACCGGTGCTAGCCATGCCGTTATATAAAACTCTGTTGTCTAAATACGAGGCCACCCAATGTCATCCTCAGATTATTTTACACTTATGGACTTTTTTAGTCTTTATCCTTCTGAAGAAATCCAGACCGTTATAAAAGGACTGTTATTGTTTAAGAGGCTTTGATTGTTTTAATCCAGTTAGCCAACAAGACCATGCCCAATTTTGGGAACAGTATGGGACATAATCCTAGTCCTCTGGGCCCAGTGTGCTGTGGTGTGTGTGTGTTATGAAAAATGTAATTAACACTTTTAAATGAAGGTTTGCCTACTCTCTTTCTCTCCCTCTCCCCTTCTCCCCCTCCCCCCTCTCAGGAAGTTGATGTCGGTGTTGAAGAGGTATCTGGATGTGTCCAGTCGAGGGGAGCAGTGTGAAAACTACCTCCGCACCCTCAAAGCCCTGGAGTACATCTTCAAGTTCATCGTCCGCTCACGCATGCTCTACTCCCAGTGAGTCTGTGTGTATGTGCGCATGTGTGTGTGAGTGAGTGTAATCTAACTCTTAAAAGCATGCACACAGTCCACACACACACACACACACACACACACACACACACACACACACACACACACACAGACAGACAGACAGACACATACACACACGGTCACACACTCTTCTTTACGCTCTTGTACATTACCTAGCTAATTCCCAAAGACAGCTTGCTCTGAAAGACGCTGATTGCAGCGCTACTGTTGCTCACAAGCATTGATGATGAAGTGCCGTTTTCAATGAACACTAATGACAAAGTAGACCCAGTGCTGAATGAGCAGCTGCGATAGAGGAGGGACGCTGCTATTCAGAGACTTATGATGCGTCAACTCTTCTGAAGGCTGCTCCATATGATAATCATAAACAACATTAATAATAACATCACATAATTTGATCCTGACAGATTAGTAGCAGAACACAAGCAAATCTCTAAGTGCTTTGTCTGTGTTGCTTGTTTCGGGAAGTGTGTGCTGTGTGATTATCTAGTGGCCTGTCAATTTGTTTTAGAAACCATATGCAGTGCATGTGTACTGATCACTGTTCTCCCTGGAGGGATGCTAGAACAATTGATTGCTCCAGCCCTCCTCTCAGGTCTGCCAAACTACTTAAAAGAAAGTTGAAACTTTCTGAATTTCAAGTCTACATCACTCTTCCCATATAGGTAGCCTAGTCAGATACTCAGTATTCAAGAGCAGAGCATGCAGTACTGTGCTGTAGACTCATCTGTAGTACCATTAATGTCCTACACTCATCAATGACTTATCAGTTTGAATCTGAAGTTTCTCAAGTCCTATAAGATAACTCTGATTTCTATGAGTAGAGAATGTATTAGATGTTCTCTCTCTCTCGGCCCTATCCCTTCTTTCTTTAACCTTGCTTTTACCTTTCTTTCCCTTCTATAACTTTCATCCGGCCTCAGTAACGCCTCTTTATTTATCCATCTTTGTTTTTCTCACCCGCCTGTTTTTTGCTATCCATCTAGCCTCTGCTCCCTCCCTCCTCCCATCCATCTGGTGTGAGTAGAGCATTAGTGTTGTTGTCCCATGGGTGGTGAATGGAGCATGGTTAGCGGTAGAGTTACAGTAGCAATCAGGGTGAGCAGGGTTAGGGTCAGCTTCTGGTCCCAGGCTGTTCTCTGATAGGGCTCATAGGGCTTTAGGCCCAGGATTATGAGGCCTACTCTACTGTACAGTCCACTCTACCACTTATCTACAGGAGCCTGCAGGGATAAAAGGGTGCAGAGGTCCAGACAGGAACAGGGCAACTGGGGTCAGAAATATCTGCTATTTATCAGTATGTGTTCTGTTGCGTATATGTACGTTGTGTCGTTGGGATAGGGTTAGCATAGGATTGCAGTGTGTGTACCCTGTATGTGTCTGTCATGATTTTCTGTGGTGGAGTCTCAAATATATACTGTATATAGTGTGTGTGTACGTGCATGTGTGCATCATAGCTATGTCCATTGTTTGTGCATGTGCGTGTGAGTGTCTGTGTGTCTGTGTGTCTGTGTGTGTGTGCACTCAGCCACACAGGGGGATTATGGAGGAAAATGCTTTAGTAATCACAATGCCACCCGGAGCTCTAAGAGTCATGTGGTAATACCCCTGCAAATTGGCTCCAAGTGATTTTCTATTTTGGAAATCTGTTCTAAAGTATTCCCACGCATAATAGAGAGATACAGTGCCTTCAGAAAGTATTCATACCCCTTGATTTATTCCCCCAAAAATGTGTGTTAGAGCCTGAATTCAAAAAGGATTAAATATATTTTTTCTAAACACAATACCCCATATTGACAAAGTGAAAACATGTCTTTATACATTTTTGCTAATAAAAATGATAATAATAACATAAATAATTATTTACATAAGTATTCAGACCTTTTGCTATGAGACTCGAACTTGAGCTCAGGTGCATCCTGTTTCCATTGATCATCCTTGAGATGTTTCTACAAATTGAGTCCACCTGTGGTCAATTCAATTGATTGTACATGATTTGGAAAGGCACACACAGTGCATGTCAGAGCAAAAACCAAACCATGAGGTCAAAGGAATTGTCCATAGAGCTCCGAGACAGAACTGCGTCGAGGCACAGATCTGGGGAAGGGTACCAAAACATTTCTGCAGCATTGAAGGTCCCCAAGAACACAGTGGCCTCCATCATTCTTAAATGGAAGAAGTTTGGAACCACCTCTTCCTAGAGCTGGCCGCCCGGCCAAACTGAGCAATCGGGGGAGAAGGTCCTGACCAAGAAGCGGATTGTCACTCTGACAGAGCTCCAGAGTTCCTCTGGGGAGATGGGAGAACCTTCTAGAAGGACAACCATCTCTGCAGCATTCCACCAATCAGGCCTTTATGGTAGTGGCCAGACGGAAGCCACTCCTCAGTAAAAGGCACATGACAGCCAACTTGGAGTTTGCCAAAAGGCACCTAAAGGACTCTCAGACCATGAGAAACAAGATTCTCTTGTCTGATGAAACCAAGATTGAACTCTTTGGCCTGAATGCCAAGCATCAAGTCTGGAGGAAACCTGGCACCATCCCTATGGTGAAGCATGGTGGTGGCAGCATCATGCTGTTGGTTTGTATTTCAGGGACTGGGAGACTAGTCAGGATCGAGGGAAAGATGAACGGAGCAAAGTACACAGAGATCCTTGATGAAAACATGCTCCAGAGCACTCAGGACCTCAGACTGGGGCGAAGGTTCACCTTCCAACAGGACAACGACCCTAAGCACACAGCCAAGACAACGCAGGAGTGGCTTCGGGACAAGTCTCTGAATGTCCTTGAGTGGCCCAGCCAGAGCCCGGACTTGAACCCGATCGAACATGTCTGGAGAGATCTGAAAATAGCTGTGCAGCGACGCTCCCCATCCAACCTGACAGAGCTTGAGAGAATCTGCAGAGAAGAATGGGAGAAACTCCCCAAATACAGGTGTGCCAAGCTTGTAGTGTCATACCCAAGAAGACTTAAGGCTGTAATCACTGCCAAAGGTGCTTCAACAAAGTACTGAGTAAAGGGTCTGAATATTTATGTAAATGTGATCTTTCAGTTTTTTATTTTAATACATTTGCTCAAATTAAAAACAAAACCTGTTTTTGCTTTGTTATTATGGGGTATTGTGTGTAGATTGATGAGGATTTTATTTTTTAAAGTCCATTTTAGAATAAGGCTGTAACTTAACAATATGTGGAAAAAGTCAAGGGTTCTGAATACTTTCCGAATGCACTGTATAAGGAAATCATAGTTGAAATAATTTCATTATGCCCTAATCTATGGAATACAGATATGCATTTGTTGGTCACAGGTATCTTTAAAAAAAAGGTAGGGGCGTGGATCTGAAAACCAGTCAGTATCTGGTGAGAACACCAGTTCACTCCTTCGCATAGAATTAATCAGGATGTTGATTGTGGCCTGTGTAATGTTGTCCCACTCTTCAATGGCTGTACGAAGTTACTGGATATTGGCAGGAACTGGAACATGCTGTCGTACACGTCAATCCAGAGTATACCAAACATGCTCAATGGGTAACATGTCTGTTGAGTATGCAGGCCATGGAAGAACTGGGACCTTTTCAGCTTCCAGGAATTGTGTACAGATCCTTATGACATGGGGCCGTGCATTAACATGATGAAACATGAGGTGATGGAGGCTGATGAATGGCACGTCAATGGGCCTCAGGATCTTGTCACGGTATCTCTGTGCATTCAAATAGCCATCGATAAAATGCAATTGTGTTCGTTGTCCGTAGCTTATGCCTGCCCATACCATAACCCAACCGCTATCATGGGGCACTCTGTTCACAACATTGACATCAGCAAACTGCTCGCCCACAATAATAATAATATGCCATTTAGCAGACGCTTTTATCCAAAGCGACTTACAGTTATGCGTGCATACATTTTTTTTGTGTATGGGTGGTCCCGGGGATTGAACCCACTACCTTGGCGTTACAAGCGCCGTGCTCTACCAGTTGAGCTACAGAGGACCACAACCGCCATACACGCTGTCTGCCATCTGCCCGGTACATTTGAAACTGGGATTCATCCGTGAAGAGCACACTTCTCCAGCGTGCCAGTCGGTTATGGAGCCGAACTCCAGTCAGGTTAAGACCCTGATTATGACGACAAGCCAGCAGATGAGCTTCCCTGAGACGGTTTCTGACAGTTTGTGCAGAAATTCTTTGGTTGTGCAAACCCACACTTTCATCAGCTGTCCGGGTGGATGTGGAGGTCCTGGGCTTGCATGGTTACACGTGGTCTGCGGTTGTGAGGCCGGTTGGACGCACTGCCAAATTGTCTAAAGCGACGTTGACGGCGGCTTATGGTAGAGAAATTAACATTCAATTCCCTGGCAACAACTCTGGTGGACATTCCTGCAATCAGCATGCCAATTGCACGCTCCCTCAAAACATGAAACATCTGTGTCGTTGTGTGACAAAACTGCCATTTTAGAGTGGCCTTTTACTGTCCTCAGCACAAGGTGCACCTGTGTAATGAGCATGCTGTTTAATCAGCTTCTTAATATGCCACACCTGTCAGGTGGATGGATTGTCAAATTTGTGCACAACATTTGAGAGAACAAGCTTTTTGTGCATATGGAACATTACTGGGATCTTTTACTTCAGCTATTGAAACATGGGACCAACACTTTACATGTTGCTTTTATATTTTTGTTTAGTATACCTCCATATACACTGTGTACAAAACATTATGAACACCTGCTCTTTCCGTGACATAGACTGACCAGGTGAATCCAGGTGAAAGCTATGGTCCCTTATTGATGTCACCTGTTAAATTCACTTCAATCAGTGTAAATGAAGGGATGGAGACAGGTTAAAGAAGTAGTTTTAAGCCTTGAGACATGGATTGTGATCCCAGTAAGTAATAGATTTGTGCCAGTACAGAGGGATAAGGTAACGAGTTATGCTTCAGTAAGGTTGTCTTCTTAGCAATGTTTATCAACTGCACTGCAGAAATGGAAAGTAAATAACAGAAAATAGATGCTGTGGTGGCAGCTGCAGAGAGGTATTTGGGTATACGAGATTTGACTTCAGAAGAGTTACAGGGTGTGTTGAGGGGTGGTGTCCTGTCCTCCCAGGCTGTTGGCATGGGAAGGAGCAGATAGGGTCAAAGTAGTGGAATGGGGTAGTGGGTTTAGGTGGCAACTGCAGAGAAGTACCTGGGTGTATGGGATTTTACTGCAGAAGAGTTAATGGGATGGTGACTTATATTTTTTATGAAATAGTGGTATATACAGTTGAAGTCGGAAGTTTACATGCACTTAGGTTGGAGTCATTAAAACTTGTTTTTGAACCACTCCACACATTTCTTGTTAACAAACTATAGTTTTGGCAAGTCGCATGCCACAAGTAATTTTTCCAACAATTGTTTACAGACAGATTATTTCACTTATAATTCACTGTATCACAATTCTAGTGGGTCATAAGTTTACATACACTAAGTTGACTGTGCCTTTAAACAGCATGGAAAATTCCAGAAAATGATGTCATGGCGTTAGAAGCTTCTGATAGGCTAATTGAACGTCATTTGAGTCAATTGGAGGTGTACCTGTGGATGTATTTCAAGGCCTACCTTCAAACTCAGTGCCTCTTTGCTTGACATCATGGGAAAATCAAAAGAAATCAGCCAAGACCTCAGAAAAAAAATTGTAGACCTCCACAAGTCTGGCTCATCCTTGGGAGCAATTTCCAAACGGCTGAAGGTACCACATTCATCTGTACAAACAATAGTACGCAAGTATAAACACCATGGGACCACACAGCCGTCATACCGCTCAAGAAGGAGACGCGTTCTGTCTCCTAGAGATGAACGTACTTTGGTGCGAAAAGTGCAAATCAATCCCAGAACAACAGCAAAGGACCCTGTGAAGATGCTGGAGGAAACAGGTACAAAAGTGTCTATATCACAGTAAAACGAGTCCTATGTCGACATAACCTGAAAGGCCGCTCAGCAAGGAAGAAGCCACTGCTCCAAAACCGCCATAAAAAAGCCACTACGGTTTGCAACTGCACATGGGGACAAAGATCGTACTTTTTGGAGAAATGTCCTCTGGTCTGATGAAACAAAAATAGAACTGTTTGGCCATAATGACCATTGTTATTTTTGGAGGAAAAAGGGGAAGGCTTTGCTTGGTCGCAAATGGGTCTTCCAAATGGACAATGACCCCAAGGATACTTCCAAAGTTGTGGCAAAATGGCTTAAGGACAACAAAGTCAAGGTATTGGAGTGGCCATCACAAAGCCCTGACCTCAATCCTATAGAACATTTGTGGGCAGAACTGAAAAAGCGTGTGCGAGCAAGGATGCCTACAATCCTGACTCAGTTACACCAGCTCTGTCAGGAGGAATGGGCCAAAATTCACCCAACTTATTGTAGAAGGCTACCCGAAACGTTTGACCCAAGTTAAACAATTTAAAGGCAATTCTACCAAATACTAATTGAGTGTATGTAAACTTCTGACCCACTGGGAATGTGATGAAAGAAATAAAAGCTGAAATAAATCATTCTCTCTACTATTATGCTGACATTTCACAATCTTAAAATAAATTGGTGATCCTAACTGACCTAAAACAGGGAATTTTTACTAGGATTAAATGTCAGGAATTGTGAAAAACTGAGTTTAAATGTATTTGGTTAAGGTGTATGTAAACTTCCGACTTCAACTGTAGTTGTAGGGTTAGTTGGTGGTGCATTTTTTTTTCTGTAAGGAACAGGAATAATGAAGAGAACTTAATGTAGGTAGGTCGTGACTGGCCTCACACTTTAGTACAATAGGTGGCGGTGTATGCACCTTTAAGTTGGATGCGATCTGCCAACCCAATCACGAAGAAGAAGTCATGGATTGTGTATGTGTGCCATTCAGAGGGTGAATGGGCAAGACAAAACATTTCAGTGGTTTTTCACGCTCAACAGTTTCCCGTGTGTATCAAGAATGCTCCACCACCCAAAGGACATCCAGCCAACTTGACAGAACTGTGGGAAGCATTGTAGTCAACATGGGCCAGCATCCCTGTGGAACGCTTTCGACACCTTGTAGAGTCCAGGCCCCGATGAATTGAGGCTGTTCTGAGGGCAAAAGGGGGTGCAACTCAATGTTAGGAAGGTGTTCGTAATGTTTTGTATACTCCGTGTATACTTCCATTAATTTTTTTAACTGGTACTGGGCTACCTTCAGACAAATCTTTTGAGGCTTGTGGGCATCCTAGAGCAAAACAACCGACATGTTCGTGAGAGTCTCACAATTCCATATTGGTGTGTAGCCCAAACTGTTTGGACACTACACACATTTTCGTGAGAAGACCGATTGTCTCCGGGTCTGGCAAACACCACTGTAGCTTGACCACCTTCCACCGCAGATGCAGAAGGCCGCCATTGGCAGATGCGGTGGATTGAGACGCAGCCCATGCAAAACAGATTGTTCTAGTTTAAACAGATGGATTTTAATTGGGATTTTTCTAATATGCTAATTAGATTTCCGCAGGGGACATCGACTCTATTATTGCCCACAGTCCATGCAACTTATTATGTGACTTGACAAGCAAATGTTTTCTCCTGAACTTATTTAGGCTTGTAATAACAAAGGGGTTGAATACTTATTGACTCAAGACATTTCAGCTTTTCATTTGTAATTAATTTCTAAAAATCCCTATTTAATTTTAAATTCAGGCTGTAACACAACAAAATGTCAAGGGGTGTGAATACTTTCTGAAGGTGCTGTATATCATATAGAAATGTAAGCAATGTTTGAAATGATTATGTTTTAATCAAATATTATATATGTTCGGGCTTCTTGTGGTCAATTTGCAGTCTACAAATTATTTGTAATTATGTTCCGGCCCCCTGACCAGCCGCTCAAGAAAAAGTCGTCCCGCAGCTGAATCTAGTTGATGATCGCTGCTGTAATCCTCCCCCACCCCAACACCCACAACCCGTACTGTAATTAAAATCTACCACAGAATTACAGTGAAACAGGAGGAGACGGAAGAGGAATGGAGAACAGGGGAGGAAGAGCGAGACGAAAGGAGAGTAATGAGAAGACATTAGTTACAAGGGTAGAGATAGATAGAGTAGTTTAACAAAGAATAGAAAGGGAGGAGTAGACAACTATAGGGATTGTGATGTGTTGTTGGGGATACAGGATGAAAGAAGATACCAAATGAAACACTTGGCCTAGCTTTGTATTCAGAGACAGTATGCAGCAGTAACTGGTAGAGCTTATGTACTGTAAAGTCTCTGTCTAGTTTGACATAGCCTCCATGTGACCTAGCCTCCTGACTCCCGCCATTTCTCCCAACAACAACCAACTAGAACTACTTAAGTCCTTAAAAGTATTAGTTACCCCAGAAAAGAAAGAAAAAGGAGCACTTGTGTCTGTATCTGATCTGAGTACATTTTAGGGACAAACAAACAGGCTTATATAATAAGGCTGAAGCGTGTTTGGGTACACCTTCACTTTTTAAATCCTGCTTGAGACATTAACCGTGCCCCCTCTCTTCCTCTTTCTTCCTGTTTTCCTCTCTTCTCTCCAGGCTGTATGAAGGGAAGGAGCAGAAAGAGTTTGAGGAGTCTCTTCGGAGACTCTTTGAGTCCATCAACAAACTGATGACGAGTGACTTCAACACAACAGTCTTACTGCAGGTAAACAATCTCACTTCACTACATCTCTCCTCCTCTACTCTCCTAACTCTCTACAGTAAATCTCACTGTCTCACCATCTTTTTTTCTCTTGCTCATTTATTGATATGACCTCATTGTCCTAATTTCAGGTTTTATTATTCTTTCCCATCCATATGCATGTCTCTCTCTCTCCCTCTCCCTCTCTTTGCCTCTGTCTCTTGTCTCTCTCTCCAGGTAGCTGCTCTGAAGTACCTACCCGCAGTCTTGCAGGATGTGGAGACAGTGTTTGACGCCAAACTCCTGAGGTTAGTGCTATCCTCCACCCCCTTCCACAGGAAGAGAAAATAGAACCGCTGTCAACATCGCTCAGGCCCTTCCCAGGATGCAATGTGAAGTGAAGTGTCTCTCACCTCAGTCACCTGTTCTTAACGTCCCCCAACATCCCCTCTGACCCCCTGTCCCTCTGGCTGATAACTGTCTCATAACGTTGTCTCCACAAAAACACAACAAAACAACCCAGTCTAAAACACTGTCTCTGTCTCCCAGCCCTCTATCAAGGTCACAACCTTATTTCCCAGATCTCTTTAACTCACAGTGACTCGTCATATCTTCCATTAACCTTTCATTAACCCCTCAAAGACAGACAGCCTTGCCTTTACAGTACCCATAATGAACAGAGATATGACTCTTTACCACATCCCCAGACCTTTTAGCTTTATAATCGAATGGGTCTAGAGTCTCTTTATGGCAGACAGACAGTTGGTTCCAGCAAACCACAACGTCTTTATTTCTGGCCTGACCTTCCTGTGACCTGTGTCTGAGACTAGTCTCTCTGAGGTGAGTGTGTGTGGGTGGGTATTTTTGTGGGTGTGTGGAACTCTGTTCAGACAGTCCAAACCTGTCTGGTCTGTTGAATCTCTGGAGTGGTTGAGTGTCAACACGATGTCATTGAGGTGTTACCTAAAACACCTGGCCACCTGCACCAGAATGATAGTGGCAAGAGCAGACCAAACACATACGCACACACAATCAAGGTGATGTACTGTAGACACAACAAACCACAAACAATAACATAATCTAAACATCTAAACAGTGACTCTAGGAAGAGATGCCCTAAAGATATTAATGGTAATATTTTCAACTGTTATGAGGTTGCCCATGTTGATATTTCAACGCTTTATTGCAGTGCCCTGGGTCATTATGGGAGAGCCATATCTTTGGTTTAATAAATTAACACAAACAACCAGCAGTTCCGCACCCAGGAGGGTTTGGACGTGGGACTCTGTAGGACAGACAGCCTTATATAATACAATAACATGATATTTCAATTTGTAATTAGATTGAAATTAGAGAGCCTGGTTAGCATGCAATGCACCACGGAAAAGCTCCCTCTACTGTCTAAAAAAAGAAAAGTGGTTGGCATTATCATTTAATTTGTTGTTCATCTAGCTAATGAAAGTACTGTATCAACCACATTAATAAATCCATCTAAGGAGGAAATACGGAATGTATGGCCCCATGCTCAATCTCCCTAAGAAGCTGCCGAGGCTTTGTAACTGGCTCATTTAATTCTTATTTGATTGGATTCCGGGCTGAGGGTGACACCAACTTGTCTCGACATTAGTGTCCGTCGCTAGTTCGCTAGTTTGGCTCATCTGTTTTCATAAGGCCTAGCTAGGGTATGTCCCAAATGGCAGCCTATAATGGCACCCATTCCCTATATACCCTGGTCAATAGTAACTATGTGGGGGGGATGTGTTAGGAAGGTGTTCTTAATGTTTTATACACTCAGTCAGTGGTGGAAAAAGTACCCAAAAGTAAAGAAAATGACTCAAGCACAAGTTAAAGTCACCCAGTAAAAGACTACTTGAGTAAAAGTCTAAATGTATTTGGTTTTAAATATACTTAAGTATCAAAAGTAAATGTAATCTCAAATAAACTTAAGTATCAAAAGTAAAAGTGTAAATCATTTCACATTCCTTATATTAAGCAAACCAGACGGCACAATTTTCTTGTTTTTAAAATGTATGGATAGCCAGGGGCACACTCCAACATGCAGACATATTTTACAAATGAATAATTTGTGTTTAGTGAGTGCCAGATCAGCGGCAGCAGGGATGACCAGGTATGTTCTCTTGATAAGTGCGTGAATTGGACCATTTTCCTATCCTGCTAAGCATTCAAAATGTAACAAGTACTTTTGGGTGTCAGGGAAAATGTATGGAGTAAAAAGTACATTATTTTCATTAGGCAGGTAGTGTAGTAAAAGTAGTCAACAATACCAATAGTAAAGTACAGATACCCCAAAAAACTACTTAAGTAGTACTTTAAAGTATTTTAATTTTAGTACTTTACACCGCTGCCCTCAGTGTATTATTGAACTCAGTGGATTTAATTTGTTATGGTATTCAAGCTGTTTTTACCATCCAGGTAACTGTCGCTTTTGCGGAGAGATCGTTTTTCTAAACTAAAACTCATAAAGAACTACCGAAGAAGCATTAGGCTCACCGTCTGATAGGCGCTTTTGTAACCTGAGTAAACTACACTCATTGCACTGGCGCCATCGTAGCCTTGACCACAGCATTTGTTCACCGATTTCCATTTGCTTTCAATCAGTTTAATTTGTTATTTTTCAAGACCTGAGGCCCTTTTTCAGTTACATTCTGAAGCCCAAGACAAAAACCACTTCGTTTCCTACTACATATGGAAATTAAAAAGGTTTATGAATGACTTTTTGGAGGGTTACTGTGAAAATTATTTGACTGTAACCCTCTGCGGGGGTGTCCAACAACCCAGTGGGGATAGGGTACCATTTGGGACACAGCTGTAGTTTCTGTGCTGTGTATCTGTATCTCTTCTTTCCCGAGCCTGCTCAGGTCCGAATGGCAGTTAACGTCTGGTTCTGAATAACACGTGTCATTTCAGCTGCTTAAAATACCTGATTCAATAAAAGATTAAACAAATGCGTTGAAAAACAAGAAAATAATATCACTCTACATGGAATTAACCATGTGCTACGTATTTACAATTGAAATGAAAGTGTTTTATTACAACTGTAGCTAGAGACTTTATCACTCTTCTAGCCTTGCTGAACAATTGATCTAATTCTCCACTTCCCCATCCTCTCTCGCCCTTTCCCTTCATTTCTCTTTTCTCTCTCTTTCTCCCTTTACCCTCTCTCCACACCCCCTCCCTCCCCCTCTTCCTCCCTCCATGCCTCCTTTCCTCTCTCCAGTCAGTTGCTGTATGAATTTTACACCTGTATCCCTCCTGACAAGCTGCAGAAACAGAAGGTGGCCTCCATGACCGAGATCGTCAGCAGCAAACTCTTCCAGAAGCAGGGTAAGACTAACCTCCATGCTAGACAACTGACCAATGACTGACCTCTATGTTAACTACCATAGGAGCAGCTAACCAATCACACACCTCATCTAGTAAGAGGTTAAAACTAGGCCTATTTGGGTAGATGGAGAAGGGTCTGCCCAATATCAGTTGCGAGGTCATACAACCTTGACTATTATGAGAACAAGTGTTCTCTGAAACATCCTACATCACCATTTAAACACACTACAACCTCACTTCACTCCCCTCCTTCCCTCCACTCAGAACCTAAATTATTATGAAGGCCTAACTGGCTTGTAGTGGTGTGATAAGTGGCCAATCAGCTTCCTAAGTGGCCCCCAGTCAGATTGATGGAAGACTCTGGGTGCTACTGTTCTCTAATTGGCTCCTGATAAGTGGGAGAGCTGTCGCCACAGCGCCAGTCACAACTGACAGATTGCTATTGTTGTCATGGCTCCCCACTCCGCTTTTTGTTTTTAAACTGATATCTGAATGAATATGTTAGCGAGCGAGAGAGATCAGAGAGAGAGAAAGCAGATGGAGAGAGAGAGAGACCAGCAGCAGCAGAAGAGGCTTGTTGGCAGTTAGACAGACACCTATCCCCCCTTCGCCCCTAACACCCCCATCCTCTCTCCTCCCTGCTCCTCACTCCCTGGCCCGTCTTTGTTTTCGGGTGACAGATGCTTTTGTAACTGGGGTGTGTGTGTCTGTGTGTGTTTGTTTTGTGTGTGTGTGTGTGTTTGTTTTGCTGTGTGTGTGTTTGTGTGTTCCCTAGCCAGTTTGCGGTTGATGATTATCAATGTTGTTTTTGCTCGACGTTGCCGTGGGTGAGTCATCAGTCAGCTGTGGCCCGTAGCTGCCTGGTATAGTGGGTGACGGGGAGAGAGGGGCGGGTAGAGTAGCGGGGAGCTCGGCGTGGCGCGGCACGGCTCGGCCTGGACACTCCTCCCATATTGATCACTGTTGCGTTGATTCATTCCCCCGGGGCTCCGGGCACCCTGTGGCCGATGGCCAACTGTCACTGTACCCAGAGTCACACTCTGTCACCGCCAACCACCACACACTGCATTAATACAGGGAGAGAGGAAAGAGGGAGTGGAGGGGAGAGAGGAAGAGGGGGAGATAGGGAGGGTAAGGGGAATGTAGGGGGAGAGAAGAAAGAGAATTGTTGAGAGAGCGAGGTAGAGAGAACGACAGGGATAGTGTGGCAGATAGCGTGACAGGAGAGAGATACACACAGAGAGAGAGAGATTGACTGACCTCTGCGTTTGTTAGCTGGATAGATGCACGCAAAGTTCATGTTTATATTACTAAGCCCTAATCATTCTTCATACCATCAGCTAACCCCTGACTCTCTCTGTGCCTGTCACCCTGCATGAAAACACAATTCCAAGGTTCCCTGTTTGACTGCCTTGGTTATCCGTTTATTTATTCATTCATTCCATCTCAATCCAGAGCCGCTAAATGAGGGCTGACTCTCATTTTAATTAAGATGTATTTGGCATTGTAAATGTGGGCCTGTTTGTGGGGGAGCATTTAGGCCAGTGCAATATGCAGGAGGGGAAATTATACATTTATACCAGCTAATGGCTTCTGGTCTGCTATCACTGCCTCCCAATACATATTTCATCTATCTGTCTGCCTCCCACCATTCACTGGGGACACACTGAGTGACAGGGGAGAGATGGAATAGTGTGCGTGTGGTTATGTATGAGTGTGTGTTTGTCCATGGGATATATTTGCGTGTGACTTTGCAACATGTGTGTGTTTCTTGGGCTGGTTGTCTCTGTCCTAGGGTTGATGACACACGATTGGACCCATGGACCGCAGGTAACGTTTGAACAGATTGGTTTTTTCCCCCTCTAGATTTATTTGATATACGTTCCATGGATTAAGGAGCCTGCAGGCAGATACTGTGCACGCACATACACGCATGCACACACACACACGCATGCACACACACACACACACGTTTCATAAGGGTTAATCTGGTTCTGGTTGCCCTATAATTAAATTAAATTCAGGAGAAGCATTATGGCACAATTTAGCCAAATTATTCTGCCGTCAGACAATCACAGTGACAGATTGAGCACATCAATACTGGATGAGATGGTAGAAAATACCCTGACAGATTAGGGAAAAACAGAACAATTAAAATAACTTGTCTGCGCCTAAAGTACCCATACCAATAATCAACTACACATCCTATAAAAAATAAAATATTATCCACAGCACCCCACAGACAACACAAAAAACTAATCGCCCACTATAGAAAAATTCCCCAAGGTGATCAACATCAACACTTCTGGTTTTAGTAATTCTATAATACCTAATAGTTTAATTCTAGCATTCACTTCCTGCACTAATGTGTTAACATTTACACACTGTATCACGTTTATTTTGTATTTTTTTGTGGCGGTGTGGGGTCGGGGTGAGGAGGTGGAGCGAGGGGGATGCTGTGGGATTATTTAAGATGCTCTTTGAAGAGGTAGGGTTTCAGATGTTTTCGGAAGATGTGCAGGGACTCTGCTGTCCTAGCTTCAGGGGGAAGCTGGTTCCACCATTGGCCAGGAAAGAGAAGAGCTTAGACTGGGCTGAGCGGGAGCTGCCCTCCCGTAGGGGTGGAAGGGCCAAGAGATCAGAGGTAGCAAAGTGGAGTGCTCGGTTTAGGGAGTAGGGTTTGAGCATAGCCTAAAGGTAGGGAGGGGCAGTTCCTCTTGCTGCGCCGTAGGCAAGTACCATGGTCTTGTAGTGGGTGCGAGCTTCGACTGGAAGCTAATGGAGTGTGCGGAGAGGAGTGGGGTGACATGGGAAGGTTGAACACCAGGCGGGCTGCAGCGTTCTGGATAAATTGCAGGGGTTTGATTGCACAAGCGGGAGCCCAGCCAACAGCGAGTTGCCGTAGTCCGGACGGGAGATGAGAAGCACCTGGATTAGGACCTGTGCCTCTTCCTGTGTGAGGTAGGGTCATACTTTACCTGCAGGAGTGAGTTACTGCTTTGATGTTTGCAGAGAACGACAGGGTGTTGTCCAGGGTCACACCAAGGTTATTTGCACTCTAGGAGGGGGACACCGTGGAGTTGTCAACAGTGATGGAGAGGTCTTGGAGCGGGCAGGCCTTCCCCGGAAGGAAGAGCAACTCCGTCTTGTCGAGTTTGAGCTTGAGGTGATGGGCTAACATCCAAGCTGAGATGTTTGCCAGGCACGCAGAGATGCAAGTCACCACCTGGGTGTCAGAAAGGGGGAAGGAGAAAAGTAGTTGAGTTTCATCCACATAGCAATGATAGGAGAGACCATGTGAGGATATGACGGAGCCGAGTGACTTGGTGTATAGAGAAGAGGAGAGGGCCTAGAACCGAGCCCTGGAGGACACCAGTAGTGAGAGTATGTGATGCAGACACAGATCCTCTCCACCTCACCTGGTAGGCACGACCTGCCAGGTAGGATGCAATCCAAAAGTGTGCAGAGCCTGAGACACCCAGCCCTGAAAGGGTGGAGAGGAGGATCTGATGGTTCACGGTGTTGAAGGCAGTGGATAGATCTAGGAGGATAAGAACAGAGCGAGGGAGTCAGATTTGGCAGTGTGGAGAGCCCCCTTGACACAGAGAAGAGCAGTTTCTGTTGAATGACCCATCTTGATGCCTGACTGGTTAGGGTCAGTTGGTGAAAGTTGGTCAGAGACAGCACACTAAAGTGTTTTGGAAAGAAAAGAAAGAAAGAATTCTGGTCAAATTTTTTACATCAGAGGAGTCGAGTGTTGGATTCTTGAGGAGGAAGGTAACTCGGGCCATTATGAAGTCAGAGCGGAAGCAGCCAGTGGTCAGGCATGAGTTGGAATGGGAGAATGGGAGAAGGTCTCCAGAGGGGATGGGGTCGAGCGGGCAGGTTGTCGGGTGGCCGGACCTCACTATTCACAGGATTTCATCTGGGGAGAGAGGGGAGAAAGAGGTCAAGGTATAGGGTCAGTGTGAGTGGAACCAGTGGACTCAATAGGCCGAGTGAATGAGGAGCGGATGTGGTCAACCTTTTTTTCAAAGTGGTTGACAAAGTCATCCACAGAGAGGGAGGGGGTGGACAATTAAGGAAGGAGAAGGTGGAAAAGAGTTTCCTAGGGTTAGAGGCAGAAGCTTGAAATGTAGATTGATAGAAAGTGGCTTTAGCAGTGGATACATTGGAGAGAAGGTAGAGAGAAGGGAGTGAAAGGATGACAGCTCCTCCAGAAGTTTAGTTTTCCTCCATTTTTGCTCAGCTGCCCGCAGCCCTGTTCTGTAAGCTCGCAATGAGTCACTCAGCCACGGAGCAGGAGGGAAGGGCCGAGACAGGAAGGAGAAGGATTTAGCAGAAGGGAGAGATGATAGAGGAGAGAGTAGTGGGAGATAGAAAGCAAAGATTGCGACGGCACATGACCATCTCGGTAGGGGCTGACTGGCTAGGGTTGGAGGAAAGGGAGACCGAAAAGGAAACAAAGTAGTGATCAGACACCTGGAGATGAACAGGTGAGAGAGGGAGAAAAGAGAAATCTCCACTTAGGAGAAATGAGTAGCCCTGTGCCACCACCGCGACGACCAGATGCTCTCGGACTATAAGAAAAAACATAGTCAGATGAAGAGAGGACAGCTGGACTAGCAGTGTTCTCTGGGGGGGGGATCCATGTCTCGGCCAAAAAGGCACTGAAGGGCAGCATAAACTCAGATTAACTCGGCGTTCTTGTTCGCAGATCGGCAGTTCAAAGCGCTGCCGGAGACCAGGAATTCCACATCGGTTGTGCGTGCAGGGAACACTAAATTAGAAGGGTTGCAACCAAGCGGTGGGGCGCATTTATAAAGCCTACAGGGAGAGGAGAGAACAGGTATGGAAAACACACACATACAGTTGAAATCGGAAGTTTACATGCACTTAGGTTGGAGTCATTAAAACTCGTTTTTCAACCACTCCACAAATTTCTTGTTAACAAACTATGGTTTTGGCAAGTCGGTTAGGACATCTACATCAACTAATTTTTCCAACAATTGTTTACAGACAGGTTATTTCACTTATAATTCACTGTATCACAATTCCAGTGGGTCAGAAGTTTACATACACTAAGTTGACTGTGCCTTCAAAACAGCTTGGAAAATTCCAGAAAATGAAGTCATGGCGTTAGAAGCTTCTGATAGGATAATTGACATCGTTTGAGTCAATTGGAGGTGTACCTGTGGATGTATTTCAAGGCCTACGTTCAAACTCAGTGCCTCTTTGCTTGACATCATGGGAAAATCAAAAGAAATCAACCAAGACCTCAGAAAGAAATGGTAGACCTCCACAAGTCTGATTCATCCATGGGAGCAATTTCCAAACGCCTGAAGGTACTGTGTTCATCTGTAAAAACAATAGTACGCAAGTATAAACACCATGGGACCACGCAGCCGTCATACCGCTCAGGAAGGAGACGCGTTCTGTCTCCTAGAGATGAACGAAAAACAAAAGTATCTATATCCACAGTAAAACGAGTCCTATATCAACATAACCTGAAAGGCTGCTCAGCAAGGAAGAAGCCACTGCTCCAAAACCGCCCATAAAAAAGCCAGACTACGGTTTGCAACTGCACATGGGGACAAAGATCGTACTTTTTGGAGAAATGTCCTCTGGTCTGATGAAACAAAAATAGAACTGTTTGGCCATAATGACCATCGTTATGTTTGGAGGAAAAAGGGGGATGCTTGCAAGCCGAAGAACACCTTGCCAACCGTGAAGCACGGGGTGGCAGCATCATGCTGTGGGGGTGCTTTGCTGCAG